TGTCAAGGAAGAAAGAATCTGGTCTTATTGTTAATGACATTGGCGATAACAGAGAAGCATAAACTCGTAATGAGTTGTAATTGCTGATTAAATAAATAACACTGTTTTCAAGATTTGATACGAAAGGCGACGACCTATAAGGAGATGTGTAATTGATACCAACCGATAATTTCAATTCAACAGTTCAGTTCAACGGTTTCAATTTACCAATTATTAATTCAACATTCTATATTGCGATGCATCTTCGGAATCATTTCATCAATCCAGTATTTACGACGAGACAATACGCGGCGCACTGAGGTATCCAGGCCGGTTCGTAAAGTTGTGCTTTTTTGAATGTCTTTTTCTTCGACTCGGGAAATTAATAACTGAGCTGTTTTTAAATGACCACACTTTTATTTATGCACTTTTTTAATTTAAACCTAGGGACAATGAATAAAAATTGAGTCATGGTCAGTAACCACCTTTTCTTACTTATTTGGTTTTTATTTTGTTACTTTATTTGTTAATTCAAATGTATTTATTAATGTGAATGCTTTGGATTTATAAGTATTCCATCATTTATATTGAAATTAGGTATTGAATGAGTTTATGAGAACAAGTATTGTACGATTGCATTTTGTCGCATATACTCGTTCGTTTCATATTACAGTGTACATGCATACGTTGTCGTGAGGTCAGGACTTTAACTCAGGCGATTTTTTAGGGAACATTTAAGCTTATTATTATTGCTACAAATGATTATCGCGATATGATAATGAAGCTGTTATTTGGTGTATTGTGGTACTGTTTTATGCCATACTATTATATACTCAAGTGTTCAGTGGGGAAGTCCGTGGAAATAAACTATATTTCAAAATTAAACAGTAATGTCGGAATGGTCTAAACTTCAGCTACACTTGAGGCGAACATCTTTCAGATTCGTGAATTACAAAATCGTTTCAACCCTCTCAATTAAAATAACGTTTTCTATTTGTATTTTTGATTAAACGGCTTGTATGTGTATGAATTTTTCTGTTGTTTTATCAATTGTTCGCAACCTTATCATTAATTCGTTCATTCATCATTTGTTATCAATAATCGTCTTCATCATTACCATGATTATTGTTGTTCATTGATAGTAATTATTTTTCGTTATTGATTCGATATTTTTGAGAATTTGTGTATATGCCATTTTTGGTGTTTTTTGGGAGGGAGTTGGTGAGGGAGAGACATAGGACGTCATTATCCGCTTATCTCATGAGTCAGAGGTAGGGACTTGGAATCGAAAGAGCTAAGTAAGAAACGTCCCACCCAATCAAAATAAAACTGCAATTCTTCACCTCGATCACCCTCTCCATTCCTCTCTCCCCACCCTCACCCCAACATCGACGGCACTCTTCAACCATGCGCTGGGCTCCGTTTCATGAGCTACATGATTAAGCCTAATTACATATAACAGTTAGTTTGAGACTTTTGCTGAGATGATTTGGGATAGGGACTCTGATCCTAGCTTAAAGCTGAGGTTATTTTACATAGACTCATTTGGCTTCAAACGTACCTAGTTTTGACTTTCCTCAACTTCACCGCAGAATCGACTCGTTTTCAAGTTTATTTGACTTCTAATTAGGTGGACTTTGCTTGATTTAGTTGTCAGTGTTGGTGGCTCAACGTAAATTATGACACTTGATTACGTGGTTTTGAAGCAACTTAAATTGATTTTACCTTGACTTTACTTTCACCTTGTGATGACTTGTCTTCAATCGACACCGACATTCCTTCGACCAGGCCCAAAGCTTATATAATCTGACTCAACATTAGCTTAACCCAAGACTCCAATTGATTGAGCTAATTAAGATTTGCTTCGAAATAGGTTTTTCAGTTTCATTTCACAAAAGTTCCCAGCCTGAGTCCTCATGGTTCAGTCAACTCTGAGCTTGCACAGATCATAGGCTTGCAACATGGGAAAAGGTTTGATTTCCATTTATGTTCCCAACTGCACGAATGTAGGTGAACCCTAGACTAGGAGAGACTCATAAGCCACATCATCCAGATGAATTGCAGTAAACATCACGTGCATACGAATACTCACTGAAACCAACTCGTACAGCAGAGTATTGGCGTATTACGCAGGGTAGGTCAGATGCACATCAATACTGGCTGAAATGCTGCTCCACTATCTCATGACTGCTTATTTCGATGGTACCACCTGTATAAGTTGCAAACTGAAAACGGATTTTGCGAGAGATTTTAATTCTCTGCCAAATGTGTATTCCCGTCTTCGTCAAGATTCGTTCCGTGAAGTGATGTGACACGTGCACCGCACACGTCACTGCATAAACACATATTTCATTTCATTTTAATGATGTATCATTCAATAACTGACTTCATTACAGAAACACGATATGAACATAAGCATAATCATAATGAAAACAACCATGATTCCAATAATTCCAATAATGATAATGCAAGTACTAGTAGCAACAACTGTTATTATGATAAACATTTAGCATTCACTTGATGAAAAATGTTGTTGAAAACAAATCAAAATAGACAGTGATTACTGTCTCGGCTAACAAGAAAGGGGATAAATAGAGATAGATGTTTCAAACGACATGGAATGCAACACACACATACGATAACGAAGAAGTGCACTAAACTTCTCAATTATAAAACAGATAAAATCGCAAATCTTGAAACAATGCTGCCAAGTCTTCAACACTCAGTCATTTCGCCGATTGTTAAAAGCTCAATTAAAATCAAGTAATGAACAACAAAATTAACCTTCACGTTGATTCCACTCTAGACAATACACGTATCATGCTAAATCAGTAATGACGATGCTTCCCAAAAAACAAGTGAGTGAACACAAACGAATGTATTATAATACGAATGAATGAAATGAAACCGAACTCTGTATTCGGTGTATATCGCTTGATACGAACATATTACATCAGATCAGTGCAAGCAAAAACAAAATAAATTGCAGATGACAGAATGTATACCACCCAACCCACATATTAAACGTTAACTCGTCGTTTCTTCCCAACAATCTTCAACATCTACCCACTTCACCCGTCCATTCAGCTCAATTCCATATCCAATCTTCTCTTCTTAACGGTACCCGGACAATCCGTCTGAAGACGTTTTGCCTAAGGACAATTTGCCTAACTTACGGTTTTTAATGGATATTTCGCCTAATAGGCAAACTGTCCGTTAGGCAATGTGTCTTTAGGAAAACTGTCCTTAGGCAGATTGTCCGGTCACGCTTTTCAACAATACGTTTGCAGCTATTGCGCTCATTCAGCTCCCATCCAACTAACGAATCATTACAAATTAATAATAAACTGATGAACTTTTTAAAAACCAAGCTTGCATGGAAACTTTCTCGTGGTTCTTAAATGAATAAACATATTCTGGTAATGAATCCAAGCCTGTAAAAATCGATTTTGAAATCCTTTCAGAATGAAAAGTGGTGGATCAAGTTAGAAATTAGTGTAAAAGTATTATCGGATGGGAAATATCGATGGATTAAAAAGGATGAACTTAAAAAAAAGAAATGAAATGAGAATGAATGCACAAAACGATATGAGTTACGTGATGCAACAATCGATCACTCATCAAATAAAAGCATGCAGATAGCGTTGAATGCTAATCACTAAAGATAGCGATCAATATTAGATAGGAAATATTTTATGTGATGGATATTTAAACGAGAAATATGAATGAATAAATGATGCGACCATCAATGACGAACGAATAAACAAATGAATTTCATTGATCAGTGCAAATATTTATGTGAGTGCTAATCACACGATGGCAATATACAATATCATTTCTTGAAAGTTGATTAACTTTTTCCATCAGTTATCTGGCACTGCTGCTCATTCAGCAAAAGCTTTGAAAGCATCAAATGGCAAATGCACTCAAAAAGCAGTCTCATACACCATTATCATTATCACCAAACAGTTTTAACTTTTGAAATTGACTTGAAAGACCGACCACCTACCAAGATTGACTTTAAACTGATCTTATAAACGATAAAAATACAATCAGCGAATGATAAGCTGTTTAAAACCACTAAATATCATAGATGAATTATTCACCCCAGGCACTAATGAAAAAACGATAATTGTAAGGTAAATAAATGAACTATATCATCGATAAAACGAACAATCAATAAACAAACATCAAAAGGTGCCAAATAAATCAATCACTGATTACTACTGCAATAGTGATAAACAAATTGTTCTTCAAAAAACCGCATTAAACAATAGTATTATCATTATAATTATTACTTGAGTTCTTATGAACTGCTTCCAGAAACAAATAAACGTCAAATCAAATGTGTATAAAATTACTACTAACTTATCACAAATGATATCACAGGGATGAAGAAAATAAGTAATTGTTCGCAATGTATTCACCATAACACAAAAACAAATACATTCTGCTCCTTCTATCATTCATTCTGCCATGAATGCAGATAGAAATGAATGCCACCTGCTCAACTTTCTAGATTTTTCTTTCAAATTTACGAAGAATAACTTGTTGACAGACCAATGCTCGATGATACCTTTTCAGTAATGTTTGCTAGTGTCACCAAGGAACACCTGAACGAACTGATTCCTCAATGATCAGGTTAGAATGTTGCTGAACAACTAACTTTTACATCGTGGTCATCTGACCGAAACGATTCCAGTTAATGAGTGATGTGGAGATAGGAATAATGATGGAATAATTAACTGATTGCCTTGCCGAATTAGCAAATGAATACGTGTTCGTGAGAAATGAGTTTGTCGGAGATAATTTTTGCGATTCGTTATCAACTGTTAGTTGAAAAGTAAATCAGATAAAACAAACTACACTAGATCAGTGAATAATTATTTGAAGACGAAGAGTGCCCAATTGAGGATCGATTCATAACTTAGAATGATAACGAAAGTATCACTCGATGAGATGATCATTCCAATAACACCGCTAGGTGCTCGGATGAAATCAATTCAAATGACGAACACAGACTACTCGTTGCCAAATCCTTCAGTTTCATCAATGGCACGAGTCAACTTCTCAGCAAGTTGCTCGTAAGAGCGATAAGGGGGTAGATCAAGCCGATTGAAGCATGTGTGTGATCTTGGTAACCAATTCTCTTTACCGACTCGTTCAATACAGAACAGTTGCGGTCCTGTTGAACCAATTAGCTCTGCGAAACCACCAACTGGTACTCGACATGTTCCAGTAACGAACTGCAATAACCGAGCTCGCTTCTCCTGGTCCAAAGAACGTACAAACTGCCAGAACCATCCTACCTGAAAGCTTACGAAACATTTATCAACGCTGATCTTAAGTGCTCCTTTATCAATCTTAAAGAGCAACTTCATGAGTCACCTGTTTGCTCTGAGGTGCATAATGTCTATAAACAGTATTTCTCTGCCAATCATCAACATCCACGTCTTGCATACCGCACAATAACAATTCCAGTTCACGTTCGTCAAAATACTGCAACCATTCCAGTGGGAACACTGAGTTGAAACCGTTGAAGAAGGCACGTGTCTGTTGCTCGATGCCTCTGTTGAAACGCCATTCAACCAGCAGTTCCATATATTCTTCCTTGTTTGCTTCGCACACAGCCTGCATTCAACGTGAATTAGCCCTACATTAAACAGGTGAGCGTGAAAGCCTTTACTGCAGATTCCTCTCACGTTCCCTGATGCAATATGCAACAATCACTAACGAATTCTGCAAACATAGAGTAGAATCACAGTTCGTCATTGAATGCTATTGCATCGGTCTGCTCAAAAAGCAAAATTATTCATCTCAAAATATGATTGAACCAACCAGCTCAGCTCCACCTTCCTTCAACTCATGTGTACGTATTTCACCGAGTAACTCATAATCGGCAACAAAATATAACTCCATATCACATTCATCCACATTGTTCTCTTTAATCCACATAACACTGTTATAAAATTCAGCATCAACGCTCTCCAGATCCTTAAGCGTCAGCTTTTTGTTGAGCATTTTCTTGTAGAAAGGCATTGTGAACCCGCTATAGATAAATTTGCCATGAAATAAAGCCTGAAAATTAAGAGGTAACTGAATGACTTGTTCATATGGACAGAACTGATAAACTCATCAGCCAGTGGATAATAATCAACTTTTGAGAGACCTATCAATAAGAAAAATAGAAGTGGTGAATCAACACACCATTGCAATGAATCGTCCGATATATTCGAAATATTTCAAATGATCTGGATTAATGAATGACGCAGGATTTATTTGCAAACTATAATTGTTTGTGCCAGCATACATAAAGAGGCAGTACATTGGATTGAGCACCTCATGAGATAAATGGAAAAACCATTCTCTGAAACAGTTAGATTAGACAGTCAATCAAGCACCGACTACTACAGTTTCATTTCATAAACATTTAACCAAATGTAGAAGATTTTACATGATAGATTTTGTAAAAAGAAACTACACACACGATACACAGTGCTATACAGATATATCACTATCACAAAACTGAAACTTCTCGTGAGGTACTGAGAGAATAAACTGCCAAAATTTCATGTTTTCTAAATAGAGTCAGCAGATAACCGTGCCAGGGAAACAACAAATTTCTCAAAAGCAATTTCAGAAAATGATAGTTCGTCGCGACAAACGTCATGAAAGTAGCTGTTAAATGAACAGAAAAGAAACGGCTATGAATGAAATGAAAATAGACACTCACCGCGCAACTCCACCATAATCAAGCCCTTCCTCACCACGAAACTGAATATAAAGTCTTCGTCGTAGATCAACCGCATTCTTGCGCATAATCTGCAATCATGAAAACTGTGTTACCGCGCACAGAGAATATAGCAAAAATGTTGCTGACTTTCATGATTCTTCAGCTGAACGATAGCAAAGTAAGATTGAAAATCCGGATAAATAAATGTTTAGAAAATAATTGAGGAGGTTCTCAATCAGAAAAAGAATGATAAAAAAGATGAATTTGATTTTGACAATCATTTTCATTTGCTCACTTCTTGGAAGGAGTCCTCGAAGAGATTATTGCGCGATACGGTGATCTTCACATGATTCGGAACGCTATTCGACTGAAAATAATTTTCTTGTGACGAACTCATTCACGAGTACATATCAACTGGTTGATTCATATAACACAAATATATCCACTAACCAAACAAAGATATCGGAACTGAGCGATCTTCCAACGAAAAGTTCTTTCGAAACTCATCGACATGCCATGCACACCCATCGGCCCTACGGGTTTCCCTGTGCGAGGATCGTTATAAGTAGTGGATTTTGTGTTGTGATCAATGAAGAAAGGCACTCCTTGCTCAGTGAAACGCATTTCCCAACCTTCCGGTAACGGTTCATCTGGTACGCTGAACGAGTCCAATTATGAGCAAACAGCAAATGATATGACATTCAAACTCACTTCAAGATCAGAACTAAGGATGAATTGAAGCAGCACTGAAGTCAAAAGAAACAAGAGACGAACCCTTGTGTGCGAGGATCTTCCCATTGTGTGGTTCTATTGACATGATTCACATAATAAAGACGACCAGTATGTGGGTCTTCACGTTTTTCCCATCCATTCGGTAATGGTCCAAGTGGATCGTCATTCGAAATCAACGCATTTGACTGAAAAAAAAAACCCCAAATAACACTCCGTTATATTGATACTGGAAGGAAACCGCCGATTTATCATAAAAACATAAGCGATTAATGCATAATAATTAATGTCAGTATTTGAAATAATCGTTTCACCAAACGAACAAAAATTTTATGCTTCATCACTACATTAATGTGTCTTAGATGATGTGTATATAATACATATGAAAATTTGTAGCGATCAGCCAAAAGAAATGAAAAAATGAAGAGTAGACCAAAGGAGAGCGAAAATACAAGCGATAAGAAGGTACCTGCAGAAGATAACGCTGCTCCCACTGATGCATAGCTTGATCCCTATTTGATTGCCATTGTTCGTGTGCTTCTAACATGTCCGCAGTGGGACGTTGCCATGTGGTTGTACGTGTATTATGGTCTACATAATAAACACGTCCACGCGAGTCACGACGCATCTCCCAACTTCAACAACTATTTTATACTAATAATGAACCGTAAGAGATACGATTGTCCCAAAAAGTTATTTTTTACAATTACGTTCATAAAATCCACCACTGAAAATAAAGCAGCATCCAGATGTTTCACTTTTCAAAAGAACTTAATATCAATCAAGTATTACAAATGAATTTCGAGTTAATTTCTCTAGGCAAGAAGCATCATTATTAAATGAGGATGAATTAAGTGAAACGCAACGATAGACTGAATGGAATGAACGTTGAAAATACTGACCCAGATGGGAGAGGAGTGGTACTCGGTTTTTCCCAAGTAGTACTCTTCGTTGTATGGTCAACATAGTATTTTCTACCATACGCATCATATCGCAATTCCCAACCTTCTGGGAGGGGTTCATCAGTAGTTGCTGAACCGTTTGGTGCATTACCACCAGTTTGAGCCATCATCGTGTCACGCGTTTTACCTAAATAAGCACCGAGCATTTAGTTTAATGAAGCAACTGTTTGAATAATTTCTAAAATAAGTTGGTTCATCATTATAAACTAAGTGCAGCAATTCACATATGACAAATCGTATGTGAGCATGCATGTGTCTTCGTATGATCACATTAGGTAGCTTTTGATAAAAACTCATCCAGCAATAACAAATTATGAGATTATCATTGAGAAAAACTACATTTCAGCAATATAAGACTACCACTGCTACCTAAATATACTATTCAACCGACGTAATTCAGCCAATTATTTATTGAAAAGAAGAGCCAATTCAACGCATCTTGTTGGAAACTAAAAACTCAAAATTTTCAAATGATATCACTACTGAGATTGTAGAAAGAGTTCGATCGACTTTGCATTCAACATATATGCAAAGATGAATTTCAAATGATGAAGAGTGAAAAAATTGTTTTGTTCGGGCACCAGTCAACAACAATAATTATTATCGCTTAAGCATAACGACCTACCAATGAATGCTGCCGTCTAAAATATATGAACAATCCAACCAAAAAAACAAGACAAACGAACGAACAAAAAATATGCCCATCATGCAATAAGAAGAGGGAAATTAAAACTATGAATGAGGCGTGCAGATCAGAGGAACTAAATGACTTTGAAAGAGGTGCAGTGGAGGGAAGAATGAGAAGAGCGGACCGATATTATGACTGGTTCGGCGATTGGATGAGTTTATGGCGACAACCGCCGGGTTCGTTGCCACCAGCCCATTGCTTATATTCAGATTCTGATTCGCCGAGGTGGACGGCGGCTCGCCCATGTGTCCCTCCGAGCTTCGACTGCTGCCTAAATGCAGTAAGTAAACCCTCATCGTTAAATGCGATAAATTGTGAAAAGCAACGAACCAACACACTAACTAGAACCATTAACCTTCAGCAAATGTTGTCAACACCACTCTAAAAGCAACCTTCATCCAGGAACAACTCTCACTCGATGGCAACACTTCTCAGGTGACTGACACAAACATGAAATGCTCTCCCCTCCGCCACAAACCTCGAACACCAAATGGATCTGCGAGAAACTATAGCTTGTAAACAGCATCCAGCAATGATTTCGTTACAAACATGGATAACAAGCTATCGATCACATCAAAAAATTCCTTTCGTTTATATTCACCACTTACGAAACAATCATGTGAAAGTATGGATAATAATGGTAACGATCACAAAAAAATGACTCCATTTAATTTATTTTCAACAAAGCAAGCAACTTTGATTTGAAGAAAATGAAAATATAGATTGTACTCGTCGCACAGGTACTGATGCCTGCTGCAAAGGTAAGCTTATCATAAATGAATTAATAACTAGAACACAACATATGTGCTCTTTTGCAACCTTACAGTTGCTCTACAGAAAAGTCGTCTTTTGGAACATTGAAAAACGACATACTTTGAGTTTCATAATATCGAAATGGATAAATTTTCATGACGTAATAGACAGGTATGAGTATGAAAAGAATGCGCAAGTGCGCAAGAAAAGTGTATCTAATTAACTGCTAAGTAAAGGCTTGCTTCGGAGATAAAGAGAACAGATAAAGCAACTTCAATTCTAAACTTTAAAGAGTGATCACTGTAACTGTATATGTGCACCAGTACAAAGACGATAGGATTAGAGCATTTGCTGTACCAAACAAGCATAAATAACGTAAGTGGACCTATGCCTCTGACTGCACAAGTATGTAAAAAGCAAGAAACGATCAAAATAAACACAAGATTATATTGTAATAACGTTGAAGATTTTACGGCAAATACTTATAAAAACTAGTGGTGAGATATTGAATATGATGAATAATGATATTTTAGTAAGAACTAGAACTCAGATAATCATGATTCCTGTATACGTTCATTCCATCAAATCTTTCATTTTGGAGAATAAATGAAAAATATTCGAACAAACTGCAGAATCTTCTATACTCGTTATGGAGCAATGAGCACCAAACTGAATCAAGAAATCGAAACAATTAATAATAGCACATACAGAGAAAGAGATGAGATAAGTGTCGTTTAGCACTAGAGAATAACAGAAAGCAGCAACGGGAGCAAAACGAACGTTATGACAACAATCACTAGACCAGGCCTGGCCCACCTTCGGCCCGACCATGTAGATTACATGGAATTTGACCTTGAAGTGGTCCACAAAGACACTAAGTGTGACCTGCGAGAAATTCAAAACCCTCGCGAGCCATATTAGAAGATCACACTATATGGTAGCCAACTTCGCATGCTTTTTTGGAAGCAGTTTTGAACATGTTACGTTTACGATTCAAGGCTTAGCATAATCCAAAACACCATTTTTTGTTTGTAGTCCTGATAAAGCAAAATCAGATATCATATGAATTGACTGTCCGTCACTTTTTTTGGTTTTTACTACACCACTGATTATCAGTCATCTATCAGAAGCCCGCATTAATATGCAGCTAACAAGTTGGCAAGTGCAATAAGTCATTTCCAGCCCATTACATTTCACAATTGTAATAATCGAACGATTAACCACTTATCTTTAGATAAGGATAACTAACGGAAACAATAAAGATGACTCAAGAAGGATTAATCAGAATTTTGACTGGTAAAAATATCCTTCAAGGGAGGATAAATTAACAGAAAAAAAATACTAGGGAGTTGAATAATAGTGAAAAGTTTATTGACTATAGTGTTTTATAATTTTCATCTATTGACTCTCCAATTTCAAATTCAACCAGCAGATTATCGCAGAATGCGAATGTCTGCAGCTCATTAGTGCTCTCAGAACAGTGAACTTATCGTGTTCATCGCAAATATACAGATGCGTTCATCGTCCACTCGGAGATGTCATTTGCAGTCGAAATTGCATGCATGAACGAGTGGTGGTGTCGAGCAAAAACTTTCAGGAAGTGAGACATTGAAGATGAGACCCACAAATCATGCGAGCATGAGTTCTTCTCAGCGAATCTGATGACAACTGGATTACGCCTTCCCAAAACAACCAAAAAAAACTTACAACTTGGGATGTCATTATACCTCGACGCATCCTGATCACAAATCAAGAATGACATCGCATGAAGATCGCATTTTGCAAATATAGATGCTCAACAAAATGTGCTGCTGAAAGCTTTGACTTGTAGGCAAAAAATTGGAATATCGTCAAGAGTAGTTTACAACTGAGAATTGCAAAAAACTGTTTGTCGACGTTTGTCAACAACGAGTTCGACATTAATTTTCTATAATGAAGCATATTAAAAGTCGCTGTCTTGAAACATCGCTTTCTGTGGCCTGCAAGCGCTTTCAGGTTCGGCAAGCTAGCACTAGACTTAACTAACTTGAAATCTGTCTACCCTCTTCTCACATCCCTCATCCTTTCCTTTCCTATCGCCCGAATTTTACCACTCTTTACTGCAATTATCACTCTTTACCCTTCAAATGTAAATAATCAACTGGTTTGTTATTACTTCGTTCACAACCGATTGCTCGTTCTCATTGGCATTGTGTCGTCTTTCGAAACATACAGCTGCACCAACAAATAGCAGTCAAAAATTGTGCTTATTTCACGGCAAGCACTTTTCATTCGATTTCGTTAACTGCACGCTGCACGCAATGTTCATGTCTGGCGCACTCTAGTTAGTTTGTTTTGTACACACATCTGCGTGCTATCACCAAACTTATGGGCAAACGTGCGTGGCGCACATCAACAGGTGAACTCATCGACTGGTCAAACGATGGTGATCACTGAACGGACGAACGTTATCAAATGCCAATTGAACGTGCTTTGCCGAAAATAAGCCAACTTATTATTCAGTCCTTAACAAATCATCACTTCTGAACTGGCATCAAGTATAATTCGATGCCTACGACCAACGACCGAACAAGGCTATTACTGAGGCAGCACACGTAAAAATAACTCATTAAGTTACAGAAAGTAAACCATTCGGCCAAACGTCATCAACACTATGAGAATCAATTTCTTCGGTACAAAACCCTACACAAAACCAGCAATCAGTTCAATAAATAAAGTTATTAAAGCTCCAAACGCATTTTTGGAGGGAATGCATACTCACTGTAATTCTGAGTTACTTATCGAATCAACTCGACAGCAGATTTTAAAGACCTGATCTTGCGCTGCTTCGTCACTGAAATCATGTTTACAAATGGTTATCTTCGGTTTCGTGACGCTGTTCTTTTCGTACAAGCGCATAGGAAAACGAAATGGAACCGACATTTCAAAACAAACATTTACAAACAAACACTCGCTGTACAAGACACCTAATTTTCGTTTACTACAGTGGTAAAACGCTTGCTCGTCATACTTCATAACAGACAGCATACCATTCGTTTCACTGCAATAGACGTACAAAACAATTTAAGTAAAAGTAGACTGAATATGAAAACGCTGAATGATAGTGCGTTAAAATAATAACAACAATCGCAAATGAACCGATCGCCGGATAACGAATGCAACGGATAACCGTATAGAGATGTAGTGGGATATAGTGAATACATGTTTACAATGTCCAATAATTCCGAGATGAACAACAGCGAAATGAACGAATGACGAGCAAACAAACACAACGCAAACGCAATTACCTGCACTTTTTTTCCGCGTTCGCTCGATATAGCCTGTAAGAGCTATTTTGAGTTCGCCAGATTTCACTGCTGAATCTTTCGGTGAAGTCAACTGTAGCGTTATCTTCGTGTTTTCAACTGCAACGATTTTCTATTCACATAAAAAGTGATGCAACTGAGAATATAGTATCGAATTTGATTCGAGGATTGTGATGTTCGTTTCAAGTTTTTTTGAAAATTCTGACAAATTTGTTTGAAAACAAAACTGGCAAAAGATTCATTTTCTGGATGAATCATCAGTGAATGGATGAAGGCATAGATGACTACTCAATGACTACTTCTAGTTACTCGATAACTTTCACTTGCTGCCGAAACTGAATGCAATACACGATACGTTCTACAATCAACGAAAAACCGAAATTTGAGTTTGTCTCTACCCGATCGATTAATAATTTCTCAAACTACTATTGATTGCAAACACACTACAACAGCCAGAACCATTCCCAAACAAATGCATACAACACTACATTGAACGCATCACTCATTCATTTTCTGTTTATTCGCACAATCATCGCTAATATTTGCACTGTAAAATGTCAGAATACCGCTAAAACTGAAAATAACTGAGAGCCAAAATGCCGATAGATGAATAGTAAATGCATTGAAGCAATCTATTAAAACAATACAAACATTTCCCGCCATCTGATTCTTTTCTGATTGCATTTGATAGCTTTAACGTTTTTTGTCCGATCAGTGAATCCTCGAAGACTTTCGATTTATTGAAAACACGAAAATCGAGCAGAGATGATTCATTCACTTGCACCTGAAAATGATCAAATATCAAACTAATAACTCAACTCCCCAATGTCCTTGAGTCCATTTTAGATCGACCGATTCGTTTCATAATTGACTCATAGTACGGTATTATTGAAACATACATAAACCTATCAGAGAGAAATTTTACTACAAACTTTTGTTTAAATGAAATTGGTAAATGCATATATGTAGAGAATTCTCGACCCTTGAACTTACTAAAGAGAATAAGAAAGCAAATTTGGACGAAATAAGCAACAACAATGAAATGATCTATCATGTTGGTTTTAGTGTGCGACCTTACAGACATCACGATAACTGAACAATAAAATTTTTGTGCACAAAAACAAAATGTGATAAGAGGTTGATGAGAATGACAAAAAGCCAACAGCAACTCATTCATTCTCAAGACAATACTGATAATACTAATAACAATAGCAATAATAACTGAGAGTGTCAATGCTAATAATGAACGTATGGTAAATACCTGCAATTGCTCATCCCACTGTGGTGTACTTGTCTTCTTCTTTACAGCCGTTTTCTTTGACGGCGAACGATCGACTGATAACTCAACGTACACATCTGGTGGTTTACTGAAGATACCACCAACGCTTTGCAATTTCGCCGAAATTACTGCAACAATAGAACCAATGGGGCAAATTACTGCAAAAAATGAGGGAAAACAAGTAAATCAAAGTACCGCAATGAAGCAACATGTGGCTGATACCAGAATTACAATCATTTATGAGAAAGTTCAATTGAGAAAATTACAATCAGAAAGTATCCATCGAACACCTCAAGTTCAATTCACTCAAAAAATTTGGTACTTTTGCTGATAACGGGCGCCACTACGTGCATGTGCTTAAGTTACCGCTTTGCCCCATGTCTGTCTATGCAATTCGAAGTCAAATCAGAAGTATGCTTAAGCTTAGACTTACGCTTAGCTCAGTGATGAGGCTAACGCACAGGCTTCGACTTATGGGTGAAGTGTATGAGCACACGAGCATCTATGATGACGTGGTGGCGCCCGTTATCAGCAAAAGTACCAAAATTTTTTGTGCAATAAAGAAAGTACTAATAAATCATCTTTTTTTAGGACGTATTCATCTCCAATTTTACCTTCCACAATTATTCTCCTTTCAATTTTCAATGATTCGAAAGGCTCCGATGCCCATTGGCCAGAAAAAAACTCGCGAATAATCGAAACCAACTCACTAAGATCGCATAATTTTCAGAATCATCAAATCAATCAATCGAAACGATATATTAAGCACAAACAAACATTCTGCGACCACAGCTTCGCGCAAAACAACAAATACTGATGACAACATTACTGATAATAGTAATAATAACAAAATATTAATAGTAATAAGTAACAACAAATAATAATGATGATGATACTAATAACAATAATAATAATAATAACGTATATGAACTCACTAGATATATGAAGTGGAAAGACCTTCAGACGTTCATCGGTCAAACCGTGTTGCGATGGCATTCTTAACTCACCACCATAACCACCATCCATAAATGGCGCAGTAATCGCCTAAAAACTGAACGATGAATCTATGAAAATCTGATAAACTAAGTGAACCAAGTCAAGAATTAAGCAGTGAATAACGACAACCCTACTCTTTGCTTCAACTATCAGCAATCGATTTGCGTACGCACGCACCACACACACATATACGTGTGTCTATGTCAGCATACATCCATCATCATATTGTACACACTATGCACACGTTTTGTCATAATCATAAGTTTTTATTAATGCACACCACTAATTACAAGATTCGTTCCAGAAACTAGTGCAAGCCACTGCGGTGAATCTGTTCCGTCCGCTTTTTGCTCTAAATTTGCATTCTCAGTGGCCATCGAAAAAAATTTTCAGTTCTCAACTATAGTGTAAACAACAAATCTTATTTGCATGCAACTTTGTTGGGAGTCGTGATAATTGCGTTCGTCTTTTTGCTTCATGAAGCAACTATCTGTAGCGAAACATCGCATCTGTGACATACTCCTACCTTTTAACTTCTGGCAAATTTTGTAGAAATTCGTTTTTTTAAATTTTCATGATGATTCATGATCTCAGTCAGTTTTGTGAGAAACCGTTCTTTCGCATTTCACTTTTAGATGCTCAGTGATTGCATGAAAGAACACAAATGGTGCTGTAAGATCACAGGGAGACAGACCAGTATGATTCTGGAGAAAGTTGCTTTCTTGTGAACAGATGTGTTCGAAACTCATGCCAGAGTAAAACAGTGAGAATTTCTGAGGTCCAAAAAAGGACGCTTATATGAGGAAGAAGAACAGGGTCTTCATGTACATATAAACAGTAACTTGGAAATGGTGAATAAGAACATTTCGTTGGTAAATTTGATTTATGAACAAATTTCCTCATTGCTCATTTCCGTTTCCATTTACTTCATCAAATCACTACCGCTCTTCAATCACCAAATAACACACTTCGATTGAATGTCGAAAAAGCACAGAAGCAGTTGTGGTCACATCGCAACAGTGTAGACCAGTGGTCCCCACGCTCGGGTGCTCCGTTACCCCCTTCGATGGTCTAGCAGGTCGTCATTACCCCTCCCTTCCGTTTTCCGCTACAATAATTTACCATTTCCACACATAACGTCGGAATTAATTTTCGGATCCCCTCCGTTACCTCCTGATACCCACAAATTACCTAGAAATAGGTAATTCCCCTCTCCCCCAGTGGGGATGCCTGCTGTAGATAGCTTATTTCTTTTATAATATAAAGCGCTCTCTCAAAACTCCAAGTAAATATCATTCAAGCGACCAACAAAATGATATAATCCTTTTCCTCATCGCACATTTTCAACTGATAAACGGTATGCGATGAAACGAAGAAATGAAGAAAGAGCTGAAAACAATTTCAACAGTAATCTGCAAAGTCTGTTATGAACAAAACCTCAATTAAATTTGAAGTTTACCGTCGAATGAAGAACCTCAGTCTCTATCATGTGTACTAAATAATGAATTAGTAATGTCTAAATTGAATGAGATAATCAAAAGAGAACAACTTCTGTTGTGTGGTATAAGTATGTGAATACGTTGAGAAAAATGCTCCAATAAAATTTTATTCATGATCATTCAACGTGGGCAAATGAAGCTGTAGAATATGAAGTACAAAGACACGCAAACAACATTTATTCGTCATCATATCATTATGGCTATGTGCAAGCGTCCTCCCTTTCTCAAACATAAACAGAATGATAACGACTATGAAACTTCACCCTATGCCTGCAGTTATCACAACAACCACAAAAGTCAATTCAATAAACGCATAATTACAATTATGAATTGTTCAGATCATTGTTCATTACTAGTCCTACCAACAGCATCACTCTCCTCAGGGACCTACCCATGTCGTCTCATACATTCTCTTATCACACCCTTCTTTCATACCGCACATCTGGTACCATTTCTGATAAGTGTTCATCACTTGAACTAGCACTGCGCGTTGAACCAGTAGTTCAAGGAAGCTTATTTCACGCGAATGTTGCCATGAGGTCAGTGAACGACGGAAATCGAAAATTTCCTATAATTATGCTATCAAGTTTCTGTATTCAAACCAAAAGTATTCGTTCCGTAAAATCTTTATTTCAATATGAATTGTCACTTTCAGTGAATTATATCGTTATTTCTATTCGGTCAAAACTACCCGTTCTGTGCGAGTTTTCCTTGCCTAAAATCGCGAGCATACTTTTGGGTACTAATGGAATAACTTATAAAATGAGAACGAACAATTTAGTAGGTTAATCATCAACAGATGAAATATTTGCACAAAGTCGTTTGTTATCGATAATGTGAAATCACTTAAACAACCATTACATGTAAACTTCACTCATGAGTATTTCACGCCCACGCACAACGACAATTCGGACTCAACTTTTTCGGGAAAGGGAACTGATTAAGGACCTGTAGATGTTATGAGTGCGAAAAATTCATCGCAATACTCATTCAACAAACGAGATCCATACTCAACTTTTGTTCGGATAGGAAAGTAATGGAAGTAATCCGGAAGGTTTCAAAAATGGATTACCTCGCATACCGTCGAACGTATTGGTGAAAGAATGATATGATTCATGGAACATCCAACATGACACCCATCACCTAAGATGTGTCACTTTCAATCATAACTAATGCACTTGTTAACTTTAAAAAGCAACATCATTCAAACAAAAGCGATGATTCCCTAAATTGAAACTCGCTGAGAGGAGGGGAAGGATTTCATAATGAAAGCCATTTGGCTGGTCTGTAATTGGCTATGTGTACGAGTGAAAATGTAAGCACATAACGAAACAAGAAATTTAAAAACTAATTGTAAGAAATGGAAGTATATTGAATGACCACTTCTAATTTTGTTGAACAACGACACGAATTACATTAGCTTAACTGAACATGCATCATTCATTCGTCTCGAGTTGACTGTGAAGTTGGTTGGAAGAGATTTGAATCCCCATTGTATTATTGTATGACATAAAGCTTTTAATGCACAAAATGATCACATTAAAAATCGTCGATCAATTACAGCATTTTAAACGAAAACAATTGCAAAAATAACGGTCTGAATTAAATTAGCACTCACCAATATACATGAAACCACACAAATGAACAAATACGATATGATATCTTCACAATAACTTGATAGTTCTTTTCGATGATATTCAGAAGTACAATACATCAAATCAACGATAAGTTAAATTTAAAAATGAAGCGATGCTTTCATATGATCGAGAAATAGGTAAAGATGAATGTTTTGTCGTTGCTGACGAAGACTCTTCTTTTATACAAGTTCCATAATCTGGGATAGTGAGTATGGAAGCAAACGAAACGATGAAACGTGAAAAAAAATTAGAACGTCCATTAACTGCCTAATTGAAACATTTGCATAATTGCCTATTCCCCGAAAGAAATGCTACTATTGCTATACAAATTTGTCAATTTAATATTCACATGTACCTCATTACACTACCAGGGGAAGGGGGGGGGGGGTAAGATTTCTAAATCGAGAGAAGGGCAACCCATCACACGAGAGAGATAATTCAATCAAAAAGAGTTCACCCTTTTGTCGTCACCTTTTTACGTAAGTGATCGAAAATTGAACATTTGACACTTGTGTTGATTTTTTTACTTCTATCCATATGTACCCAGCCCCTCAAGTTATTTTATAATGACATATCACCCTACGCTCACCCCGAAAGGGAAGGGAAGCATGGATTTGTTTGATTTCGACAGATGAGATTATCATGAAAGAGCGACTTCGGTCGGGAGCTGTTGTCATATATTCTCTGTTTGTTTGTGATCTTTTCACTTCCTTATGTCGTTCTAAGTAGCTAGTCTCTTCTGCACATTGCTAACTTTATATTCAAAAAAATATTCGACTAGAACCCGTTTTAGCAGTTCGATTACCAAATAATCGGATATCATCAAAAGCAAACATTCGGTCAGAGTCAATCGAGGTTCGATCACCATCACTATCACTAATACTGAAATGAACAGCTGGTAATCGAGTAGTAGATGTTGTTCAAATAAAAGTGATTCCGTTCATACTCATAACCGCTGCCATACATGATTAACATTTCAAGCTGCCCGATTGACTTTGGCACGTTTATCATTACAAAGAAAACTATTTCATCTGCATTCATCATTGCACTAAATTAAACATCTCCTCAAATATGCCTAATTCATTATATAATCCTCTTTATCGCCCCTTTAATCAACTCTTTCTATCTCAGCGTTCAACAGTGAATTTCACAATCGCTGAACTAAAATCTATCAACTGCTGATCATTAAAACAATCTTATAATTTCGTTCACACAGGAGGATGCGTCTACCATAAATATATCAAAATTACTAAGTGTCAAATTTTTGGCAACAGTGCTCAAACGAAGTGAAAATAATGAAGAATTATTTCATCACTTCACTGAAGCATTCATCACTCAATACATTCAAAATTCACCTTATTCAAAGTGGAACAACTATGCTCTTCACACAAAAAATGATCGTCAAGTTTAATTAAATGAGGGAAATGATAAATTTTCCGTGCATGTTCTTATAAAATATTACCAAAAAGCGATGGAAAATGTACGATTTGAAAAATGCTTTAAAAAGGATCTAACTGAGTGTTGAATTTAATCTAATCTCTATTGGATGCATCACCGAAAGGTGGAATATCGGGTACGAAAGAATTGGACGATGGAAGTGTATGATCATTCGCCAGACGAACTACTCCCACACCACCACCTAAACGACGATATGTCATGCAACCAGACTGTCGCCACTGGTTCAACTCTCGATCATAAACCTCTACTGTCTTCAGATATGTTGTGCCATCAAATCCTCCAACCGCATACAGCTGTCCATTTACAACTGCCAGTCCTACCTGTAAACATCATTAATTCACCATAACAACAAAAACACAAATTAGTCCACAAAAGTACTTATCCATTCGTTCACTGACTATGAGTGTAACGATTGCAATAAACGTCAATTGAAATGATATTAAAAACAGCTTACTCCGGATCTTCGATTGTTCATCGCAACAACATTAACCCACTCATTAGTACCGGCATAATAGCGCTCAGCTGATGAAAGTTCACACACATCATCACGCCCACCCACAGCGTAGAGAAAGCCGTTATAGACGGCTGTTCCAAGGTGCTTGCGTCGAGTTCCCATCGGTTTGACCATCATCCATTTGTTCATTCGTGGATCATATCTTAAGGTTTCAATTCATTTTCATTGCCAACAAATTGATCACTTGGCAATCAAAATTCAAAAATTATGTGACCAAATAGGATATTTTTCGACTTTATTGTGACTTCATTTTGTTTTCTGACATCATTACAATTCACTTATCATTTCTCACTTCGCTCAGATCTCGAAAAAATATTATTCAGTGAAATATTGATTGCTATTCGAATGAAAAAAAAACATGAAAGAGGATAGAGAAAAAAAAAGAAACACCTTTCGACCGTGTTCAAAGGAGTCTGGCCATCTGAACCACCGACAGCATAAAGACATCCATTAAGAACGGAAACTGATACACCCAAACGTCGGGTACTCATCGGCGCAACTTTCGACCATTCATTACGATGTGCATCATATCTGCATGAAAACAGGTAAAGAGCAAGCAACAATATGCTTTATAACATACGTCAGCTGTGCTGGATAAGGAATGAGAAGTGCATACCTTTCGACGACGTTAAGACAAGAAACTCCATCTTGTCCACCAACTGCATACAAAAGACCGTCAAGGACTGCAACACCGACCGAAGTGCGACATGTTGACGTTGGTGCAACATCGCTACTCCACTGATTTGTCGCTGGATCATATCTGTGATTAGCATTATTACTGATGCGCACTTTCTACAAAAATCGATGAATACCGATTGCAAAACATACCAATTTTTGAATGTTCATTTGTGGCTAGAGGATGCCAACTGGCTAACTGCTCTCTATCGGGCAAATGGCCAGCAAAACACACCACTTTTGCGTAATAATTTTAAATAAGTGAAGAATGACATTATACGCTGGTATTCAAGGAAGATACAGATGGGATAATAAAAATGCGTAAACAATAGTTAGACGTGGAAAGGCTTGTTTCAAGATAAAAAGCAGTGAAGCGTTGGGACAGAGTTAGCCGTAGAAGCCAAGCAAGAAGCAAAGAGAAAGAAATAACCTTTCAACAGAGTTGAGGTAACTTTGACCATCATGCCCTCCGACCGCATAGAGTAAATGGTTGAGTGCAGCCACCCCGACTCCACAACGACGCTTGCTCATCGCCGAGACACAGCGCCATTCGCCCGTTCTCGAGTCCATTCGTTCCACACTCGCTATTGCATCCCCACTACACCAGCCACCAACCGCATACAGCACTTCACCGTAACGCACTGGTTTACGACTTCTACAATTTTTAAGTAGATCTATCTATTTCTCGTCAATAAAAACATCATTAATAAAATATAACCTAGTCCGTGGTCCTTGCATACTCGGCCGTTCCAGTGGAAGTAATAAGTAATTTTTTGCCTCATCCACTAAATCGCGACAACGAGCGTCTGATTTCACGAGTGGATCCTCACTGACCGTACTCACCAAAAATTTCGCTTGACACAACGGTAGACGAACATGCTCCAATACCTGCAATCATAATGATTGTCTTTTTACGAAAAGTTGCTCAAAGTTAATAAACGAGCATTGATTCTGCTCATTCAGGAAAGAAAAACCTTCGAGAGAAGTGGTCTTCGCTTAATGAGATCATAACGAATCCACGCCATGACGGCTGCAAAAACAGTTTCCTCTGAACGGACATTCAGCTCTTCACTTGAGATGATATCGATCAATTGATTCACAGGCAACAGCAAAAATTCTTCACTGGCCGCAACATCCTCAATTCATATATTCAGTAAATACTCACCACTCATTCAAGAATTCATGAACGAATCCATCAAATATAATCTGGTTAAAACGATTACATAACTACAACCATTTTCACCTTCTCATATCATAAAATCGAACAGTTTTTTCGTTCAACTGAAACTCGATAACAGAATCAATGAGTGAATTCATAACAAAACAGTGCGATCGACTTTGACCAATTGAGCTGAAATGCGTTGCTCAATGTTAAAGAAACGCCATGCATACCTGAAAATTGTGATGCGCAAATTTATCAGCAATACGCATTAAATCACGACATGCATGCGTATCTGCGAAGGCTCGAATACCAAGGCAATTTGTGGGATCAAGTTGTTTCTTCAAGAAATCACAGCAAACTTCCTGTAACATTGCACGGTAATCTTGTATTTGTGAAAGTGGGCAGTGCTGAAAGCCTGCATGAGCCTCAATCACACAGCTCAGGCTTCAACATGAACTGAGGATGGACACCAGCCGTTAGGCTAAGTCTAGTGGTAAATCTCAGCCACTGCCCCACCTCTTGTCATAAACAAATTATCTACAGTGTCGCTAGATTGTATGTCATTAATTTTTTTCCGTTGTGAAAATTTTGGCTTCATTTAAACAAAACTCACTGAAGAAAGAATCATGCACCTGAATTTCACTCAATTGAAGGAGACAAGCGGCTGGTAAAATGGATTGTACGTTCACGTCAGCGATTGTTATTTCACCTGTATAGCAGAAATCAACCAACGTTTTTAGGGTTGAATAACCAATATCAACCATTTGAATTTCCTCTGCAATACATAATTGTAACAAAAGGAAATAGCTGTCTTGCAATTAGTGCATAACAGTGAAAAAATAGCGTACGCTGTCTACTTTCGGCCATTTCCGAGGTGAACATCGCTTTGAAATAGTTGGATGATGAAGCAAGCACAAGTCGGTGCGCATTCACACGATTGTTTGCAACCACTAAGGTGACATCACAGAGACAATTATCATTTCTCATTTCGTTGATACGCTCGAAAGCGAGTCGACAATGCTTTGGAGAACGATAGATTAGTGGTGGGCATGTTGCTTGTTGCTGTGTTGACGAAGTGGCATTAGGAGGACAATTTGTTAGACTGGATGGTGGTGAGGTGTTATGCGCTACTGAAGAGGGTGATAAGATTGAAGTTGATGACGATGGTGATACCAGTTGCGATGAACATTGTGACAGTATCGACGAAGACGAAGAACACTGAGACTGAGTGAGATTATTCATTTGCTGATGCTGCTGCTGAACTTGTGCAACTGGTCCGATTCTCTCACCAATATCGTTCCTTTCCATTGTTCATTCTTTCATATTTACAACTTATATTCTGCTTGATTCAATTACTCATACGAACACTACTAGATTTAGGCCTACAGACACCCGCTAAATTGATCGTCAAAACTTAACAGTACTAGAATCAATGAGTATCACTTGTGTTGTCGTTGCTTGTCGTCATTGAACTGCACTCTTCATGAACCTCCTGAAAATGAACACTTCTTCAACCACATTAAGCAATAAAGACAAACTATTAAGCGCTACTTTCGCGATAGTATTTTTAAATACAGCTGTTAATCATAAAATGATACGCTGCAAGACATACTCTGTTGAATATAAACTCCCTTCGATTAGCAACACTGTCTGTGAGAAACATGTGCCCTTCAAATAAATGTCGATTGCATTGCAATCATGAAAAGTGAAGAATTTATGCGCACTTTTGCATTAATAAGCCCTCGACTCCTTAAATAGAAACTTCTCCTTGCAAAGAATAGAATCCCTGAACTTGAATTGAAAAGAATAAGATATTTGCTCATAACCGTTGCATGAACAGCGTGTTGCAAGCTTCAAGAAAAGATACTCGAATATTCTCATATTTAATGCTTTTCAGTATCATCATTAGTCACAATTATGATATATTCCTTCTCGCAATTGAATGAAACAATGGAATGAATACGCGTTCATCAGTTCATAATCAAGCAAGCAATTAATATGTTTACAATAAGTCGTGAAGATCCATTTTTTTGCTCAAAGACATGACCAATCGAGAATATTTACACGAAATACGCACTCAATAAAGCAAACAAGTATTTGCAACGGCTCACTACATAGCAGCCATTTCAGAATAATTCATTCGTTCAAGCATTGAGTGAAACTTGTCTGAACGCACAGTTAAACATCAATTCACATCATGTGCTCTCGAATCATAACTTTATTGCAATAAATTTTTGTCTGATTGACTCGAAACAATCATAAACAAATAGCTCTCGTGCATTCATAAGTGCTTCATAGATGGGTGTAGGACTCAGTTTCTGTCGGCAGTCAGTTCATTCGAATCATCGATCGCTCGTCATATTCTAGTGCGTGTAGAGAGAAAAACATGCAATCGAAGACTGACAATACAGTGAACAACATTGAGAAATGACAAATATGCGAATACACATCACGAAATGCTATTTCTCATAAATTATCCAAAAGGAATTTCAAATACAAGAACGAATAAAAGCAGAAATGTCGAACGAATCGAGAAATTTACAAATATTCATTATCACTATCGATAATATTATATGAGACAGTATCCCATAGAGAGCAAAATTACATACGATTAGAACAGTGAATGTGGAATTGTTTTAAAAAGAAAGCAACAAAATAGTAACTGAATCACAGTCTGAACAAGAAGAAGAACCAAAAAATGGAAAGTTGACAAATCTGGAATATTTACTAATGTCTCTCAGCAGTACTTTTCATAAACAGTTCACTGAAAAAAATCTGTGCAGTTTGGATGAATGATTAAAGATTGTGATCATAATAAAGTGAGATTAATTGAGAGATTAAAGTGGAATAAGTTAGAATCACCATTAGAGAAGCAGAATTCGAGATTTGGATGTGAGAATCTGTTGTTTATATTGTGCGAATGGATTAGGTGCTGGTATGGGTAACTGAGTGGGATCGATTGATCTATTGTTCGAGATGGCAGTAGCATTGATCGCGATCTGACTTTTCGATGTTGGCAAACGCAATTGCAACTTCTGCAATTTCGATACGAAACCACTAGCTTTATCCGATAAACGTCCATCTGATTTGGATGTATGCACCTGACATGTCTGCTGCTGCTGCTGCTGCTGCTGCTGCTGCTGCTGCTGCTGCTGCTGCAATATTGTGCACTTCATCATTATCTACCACTAACAAAATTTTTTTACTTCAACTTCATAAATAATCGTTCACAACAAAACCTCTTTGCAATCCTCATATACCATTTTTTCGTATTATATCTAAACAATCATCAAATTTCCAGCCCTTCAATATTCTCACTTACATAACTTAACATAATTTCTGACTACATTTTTCTCAAATCGAACTTCAATGAAATTATGGAATGACACGTCAAAAACTGAACAATTCAAATAGTGTTTTTCGGTGTACGCTGTAATAATCTAATGTAAAACAAACATGTAATGAAAATTCATCGTAATATCGCAAAATTCTATCAAGTAAAAAATGAACTGAAAAGCAACTCATCATAAAACTAAAGGACTTACAAGAAATGGATTAGCAGTAAGTGTTGGTGGATTATCGAAAATATCAACAGTATTTTTTATTGATGACGACATCGAATTATCGGGTTCTGGTGATAGCACTCCATCAATAAGCACTGATTGGCTTTTTATCGATTTTGATGATCGTCCTTCTTCCGATGAGAAAACAATTATTGGATTCGTTTTCGCATTGTCCTCAAAATAATTGCTTCTTATTTGTGTATCTTTTCACGTTACTTCAATCCATTCGTTGTTTTTTAAAAGTGACAACAATTTAATAACCATAACCATGTGAAAGAAGAGTTAAAAACGGTAATGAAATAATATATTATAATCACAAGCATGCAATTTTCATTAGTTGATGCAGCGATTTTATCTCTGAGTTGTTCATCACTCGGCAATGGATGAGCGATGCGACTGGAAGATGAGGCACAATTCGCTGAGCTATTCACAGTAGAAATTGAGTCAGCAGTACTATTTGCACCGAACGCCGATGCAAGCATACTCATTATTCGACGTCTACAAACACAATTAAATAACAGTTTATCCTTTTTCGCCTTGAATTGATCAAATACCACACCCTTTGTTTTATTTGATAAAATTAACGAAAATATTTTCGAACAAAGCGAACAATATCCTACTTTTTCATTGAATTTACTCAAATTCACTGTTATAATTCATCAGAATAAAAGTCACGTGGAATAATGAGAAGAACGAACCCGCTTTTCTCAGAACATCCATCAAGTTTACCAACGAAGGGAATTTCAATGTGATGGCCGCTCATAGCCATTGTGACTCTAAACTGTTCACCGATCGCTTCGATGTATTCATCAGCCTCATCAGCACATTTTAATGGAATTGCCACATTATTGAATAAACGTGTTTTAGCAGCACGCCATGTGAACTGCTCATTTGGTCTTGCGTACAATCTACAAAACTCCTTTGCTATCTTCTTTCACGAAATCAGAATATTTCTTCATGTCCAATCTGTACTTAAAGTTTTTTACTATAAACAAATGGTATGATTCAAATAGGAGTCCCAAACCTCAAATGCATCCTCGGTGACTTTGCAAAAGTACCGAATTGCAAACGAATGACATCTTCAAAATCGATTACTTTCACCTCCACCAACTTTTCAGAATCGTCATCGTAAATTGCAACAATCACTCGTTGTCTATAAACAAAACAATGCACGTTGTCATCATAAAGACATGATAGTAACCTGGTGAGAAGGAGTACCGTGTCGATTTGATCTGATGAATTCGAACCGCTAACCAGTGCCCATCCACCGACGAGCACTTCTGTTTCGGGCAGAACAAAGTGTATCGTTTCACTCACTAATCTCGCGATACTTTCGCTTTCCTCTTCATCGCCGTCGCTCACATTCTCATCGCTATCATTTGCTGCTTCTTTCAGTAGTGTATCAATAGCGATCTGTCGTTGTGCATGTCTAGTATGCGACAAATAGTATCTTGATGCACTCGTATAGCCATCACGTACCATACCGACTATTTTGCGTTGACCACTTCTTGTCACATCACCTTTCAATGCATCCGTACCCGCATACTGAAACCTTTTCTTTTATTGTACATTGCTTCCATTAGTAAATTAGGACGAATGTGAATTGAATGCAATCTCGGATTGTGTGTGAGCTTCAAAATAATGAATTACTCACTTGTCTTGAGATAGCATCTCCATTGTCGGCCCATAATGACTGAAGTGTTCTAATCAACTGATGAGGAGAACTGCTGAGAGGACCAACTAAGCCGAGTCGCTGTGCTTGAACCAAGACGACTGCTTGTGACACAGCACACTGAAAAGAACAAATAAAATGAAAGTGATGCTCAACCAGATCAACGTCTTCATACCTGAACAACATTGGTTCGATCGAGACAATCCACACAGTTCGTCCTAACGATACCGTGCTGTTCACGAACCATCTGTCCTGACTTGTCCACCCAACAAAATGCCGTCTCTCTCAACTGCTCATCTAACATACTTATCAGATCATTCACCTTCAATCAACACATCTTATAAAATTATCTTCTACAACAAACTATCATCTGCTTTTGTGTGCTAATTAGTTTCACTTTTGAGAACTTCAAAAGGATGAGTTAATCAATGAGAACGAAACCATGAATATCACAGGTAAATGACTTATGTGAATTGTTGCTTTCATGAGAACGAAAATTTCTGAATAGATTTTGAGGATATGGAATGGATTTTTCGAAAGGAAGGGAAAAACAACTTTACCTTGTCAAAACGAAGAGCACGACAATGGAAGTGAAAATCGAATGAACAGTAGGTGATATGAGGTGAATTCAGTTTTAATGTGTGCAATAAATAACTGACGGCCAGGTCCAGTTCCCTGAAATGGATTATTTTATAACTAAAATAAACAATTAAACGGATATAAATGGAGATGTACGCTTCGCATCGTATGCTTAACACGTGCACTCAACAAGTATCTCAGCATTAGTAAAATTAAACCAGAAAAAAAGAAGGCGATAGCAATAGTAGATACCTGCCCGTTTGATCGACAAGATTAACGAGAGTCACGGGTGTTCCATAATGATCAATAATTGAATTGATGTGCTTCTCAAAAACAGGAAATGATTCGTTAAAGGGTTTATCGACGACCAGAGGCGGACGATAACGATAGCCACGTTGACTCCAGAAGACAGGAACTGAGCCGCGAATCTGTCAAATTGATCTGCTGCTAGTTCAAAGAGTAACGAATGAATTGTTTTTCTCTGATAATGTTGTCGCTAAAGATGACATCTCTATTGTGCCTGTTCACTTGGAGTGAATTCGGTGCTAGTTCATTACTCAAACAAAGCATCAGTCGACTGATCACATAAGGGCAGATTTTGACTTACCTGAACGTATGAGAGGTAATGAGAGAAAATATTCAAAATGAGTTCAGTTTCGACAAAATTCGCAACGTTTGCCTCTTGATCAATACCCCGACGTAGATAACGTAATCCAGCACGTTTCACTGATCTTCGCGAGATGATTGTTAGTGTTAGATGACAGTCTGACTCAAACGTCAACTCTCTTAAAAAATATACTTCATTCATTCTATTCCGAACAAGCATGCTTTCATCGAAACATAATGCATAAGTGCTAATAAAGCATTTAGAGAGGAGAATAAAAACACTGAATGTTGTTCACCGTTCAGAAACAAAACCCTGACAGATAGGTGTGATAAAAGGTTGAGCATCTTTTAATACACTACCATCCTCGGCGAACAGATCACCCAACAGACGGCGATTCCAAAAGAAACGTTCATCGTAACTCGTCGATGACTGTGACATCAGCCTGAAGTCTGTTCACGATATGAAAATATTTCGTTTTGGTTTAAACGATCACAACAACAATGATATATTTTTAATGCCTAAAAATATTTCAAAACTTAAAGGAGGCAAGAGGTCATCAAACAGATCGCTTAAACAACTTTTTGGCGGCTCTTCGGCATAAGAGAGTATAAACTTTCTTTAATGTTATTTTAATAGTGTCATGGCTAGTTTGGCGACTCATTTAACTGCTTCATCTTTTACTTGCTTCATTTAATTGTTTCAAACGAAACCAAACATCCGTCTATCAATAAGAATGAATTCACTCATTTTTGTTACTGCAAATAAGCAACCAATAGTTGTCATTGCTACAGCTCGTTGTCGTATTGCAACAGATTCATGGAATGAATTGATAGAAATTCATGAAGTGAATTAATTGACAGCTATTGAAGTCTATTGAACAAGCGATTCCATAAACCGTTTCTCAATTCAGCAAGCGATTTATTACATGATGAGAACTGAACAAAGTGAACACACCTCTGTGTTGTTAACGTGAGATCACTCCCGAAACATACATAGAAATCACCATTATCATTGAACATACTCAATAATTGATCGATTATTCGCACAGAACATACTTTATCGGTGACAAACTTCATTAACTTCTTCTGCGAGTTTATTATTCGATTGAGCTGAGGTGATGAACTGTTCAATTCAGCCTTGAAAGCAGAGATAAATTTTTTACAACATACATTCGAAAACTAAAACAGTGGCGTAACCAGGGAAGCGCCCCCCCCCCCTCNAGGGAACGAAAACGGAGGGAGAAGAAAGAAACACTTTATTGGTTTGCAATCATCAACGATGCCTAATTTGAAGAAAAAAAAAAACTGATTCAATTTCTGCTCCACAATTTTGAAATTCCAACTCTGACCTCACCTTTTTGAAGTACCCTTTTTTTAATCCAGCTGTAGTACAGGAATTCTGAAATGTCAGCTTTTGCTTTTGCTTTAGCTCGGAAATTTGCTTTATTCCGCTCCAACTCCAGAAAATGTTTGCTCTGTAATCTTAGCCCCGGCTACTGAGGGTTGCAGCGATTTTTTTCAACGAAGTCAAAAAATTTGTTGCGTTCAGAGCTTGGACATTATTACTCATAAGACATACATCCAACAGTTGTTATGATTCATTTATGGGCTATGACGATGAATTACTGCTATTTTTGTTATCTGCATTTATGGTGGCCACCACAGAGGTCCTCGCGGGCGCGGAGATTTCTTGATGATGCACGTTTCGGCAACTTCTCGTGATGGACTGATTCAAACTGCGATCAATAACGACTTGAAGAATGAACGAACTGATGAATGATGCAATGTGAAATGGATAAGTAGACCAATGCTCAGTGCATAGAACTGACTGGTCATTGTCACTGTTATTGGTAAGATAGATTTTTCTACTCTTTTCCTATCACTGCTTTTACAATTTCAATAGCCTTTTATGATCCCGGTGATGCCTAAATTTGAAACAATTGGCTACTGATGGTTGCAGCCCCGCAGTTCTACAAGCTCGTCTCCAGCTCGATCATTTAGGGAAATTCATCGCTGGCTTCAACTCATGAACTCTAAAATTTTGGCTTCAGCTCTGGCTCCACATTGTTCAGTGTTCCAGCTCTAAAATTGGCTCTGCTCTTTTGCGGCTCCAACTCTGGAGTAATCTGGATCCAGAGAAGGATTATCATGCAAGTCTGAACTCCGGCTACTGAATGTTGCTGTGATTTTTTTCATGAGGCCAAAGAATTTTTGGCCTCGGAGCTTCAACGTCACTGCTTACGATACTTACACGCAACTTTGGATACGATACGATTAATAAACGAATTGTGAGCTATGATGAGAAATTACTGCTGTTTTGCTTATATGCGTTTTACGAGAGCCACCAGAGTATCTCCGCGAGATCCCGCGGATGCAGGGGATTTTCTGATAACAGGAGCAATGGCATCAGCAGTAGTGTGTTGTGAGGAACAGGGAATCCTGGAGACCCGGTCCCCAACAATTCTAAAGGCGGCCACATTATTGGGGTCCCTGATTGAAAATCTTCGTCCTCGCCTTTCCTCGTCCCCGACTTTTCTGGAATTGTCGTGATCACCATTCTCCGAAATTTTAGGAGAATTCCGCGAACATTCTTCGAGAATTGATACAATCAGATATTAGCGTCAAAAACGTGAATTTAAAACAGTTTACCAACGACTTTCATATGCTACGTAGCCTTACAATCTGACTGTGCGAATTTTTAAGTTTATCTTTTCAGAATGTTGTGGTTGTGTTCGTGGTTGGACATTTCAGTTCTATGAAAGCAGAATAATGTTGTATTGTGGCATTACCTGAGAGGAAGAACGATGCAGTCGAGATAAATGGCAGGATGGAGTCTAGTTAAGAAGAAGAATTCCTCTGGATGAAATATGGTGTCTGGAGAGCAAGATCAAGATCGCCAGGCTGCTCAGATGGGGATGGATAAACAACAACCCTGTATCAGCAAGGCGTCTACCCTCCACTAAAAGTAGGCGCACTACTCTCGGACCCAAGTGAGGGTAGAGCGTTTGTCCTCAGTTGAGAACGGGTAAACTGTTAGTCTGAACCTGAGCACTCTTAATCGAAAGCGGACACTTTGTCACGGTTCCGCCCTCAGCAGGGGTCAGAGTTGTTTCACTGAGGACACACGACAAGAAACTCATTGAATGGTGCTACTGAGTCTCAGACTCCGCACCTCCACTTGCTTCTGCTCAGCAGATGCGTGTGTAAAAATACTGAAAAATGAGCACTGCTAGAATGCTTGTAGCTCTGTCACGGGATCACAACCAATTACGGCGATCAAAACCACTTAGGAGCAGTGTTCCGGAACAGTTCGATTTTTAATATGACAGCAACGAAATGTTTCTGTTTATCTCAGGGAATTTTTTTGATGAAACAGCATTTCTCATCACTGTGACATTGTGAATTGTGATTTGGCCAAAACTTTCAGCGACAAACTCAGACGATTTCTACAGTGTGCAAAAGAAGAAAATTACGTGATTGTCATTGCAGAATGTTGTTCATTTTTTCGCGGCGGACACTATGCATTGGTTATTGTTCGTGTGCTTCAATGAAGAATTACCGTTAGAACCGCATCACGGTTTTGCACTTATCTCTGTTCTATCCTAAACCTAGTTTATTTCGATGCTTTTCGAACACAAATTCCTGTTTTCAAGGACCTACTGACTCCAGTTCAAATGTTTCATTTTCAGGTGAAATTCGGGTATCGGGGATGGGAACGAGATTGAGATCCTTCCCCGAAATTCTCCGTCCTCAATCTTTTTCGAGCCGACCATATTTTTGGGGTTCCCCACTTCTTTCGTCGCCGACTTTTTTCCTTCCCCGCAGCACACTAATCAGCTGGAGGACGGGGGGAATGGTGCATATATGAAGCACTAAACCAGACCACGTTACGCCTCTCAGTCTAGAAAAATCCTGCCTACGCCACTGATTGAAAGATTCAGTTTTGATTACAAGTATCACTACTATGAATGATCATGAGGAGATGATGCAAAGTCGCAAACAAACCAACAAAACATATTTCATTAATTTTGCAGCTTGAATTTCGACAAGCCTACCCAACAATCAAGTGAGCTATACATCAACTTCATGACAATTCCATAAAAGTGCTCTGTAATTTTGGATGATTGAAAAGAATCTCCACAATACCTTGTCAATTTTAGCATTTTCCTCGAGTGGCACAGCAATTACTTTATCGATATGATGAATTTTGTGCTAAAAATTAATATTACTTTATAAATGGATCAACAATAAATGAATTATCAACAGAACAGAAATAAAATTGAGAAAGTAACAATAATTTCAAACCTGCGAGCAAGGGTATGTTGCAACTGGAGTGCATTGTGTGATGACAAGTAAAAAATGTTCATTATCGACACACAGTGAGCCAACCACTCCTTTCACATCACCAATCTCTACAGCTGAATCCAATTCACTTGAGACTGCAAAAATCGCCCGTTCAGTGACTCATTCTAATTGTCTGGCTTAGATTGTTAAGGTTCTAAGTGGGTGAATGCGCAGTTCGATTGTTAGAATCGTTATGACTTTTCATCGAAACATACGCAAACATGACGGCCGGATGTGCTGTTTTGAAGTTAGCAGTCATTACTCCTTGGCGCATGGTGAACAGGAAATGTTTCCTGAGAAGAGAAAGTGATACGTGAAGGTTAGGGTGCAAAGTTACCTTAAGTTGCAAAGTTACCTTAAGCTGCTCGTAACCCTAAAATTAGGGTGCGACTTTTAATCTCAGGGAGACTGACAACATCAATCCAAGAGCACTTGATATGAAATCAGACACCCTCCTAAAGGTGTCCATCTGCAGCTGAGGGCACAAAATGAGCAAAATTCAGTGGATGGTTGCGGAGTCGCATAACTTATATCATCTGTCCCTGCTTAGTGAATGAACCGTCATTGAAATTAAGAGAAAATGAGTTCGCTGATATCAAATTTCGACAGTCAGTATTAGCAATAAAGCAACAATATGGAAGTTTTATCCATTGACGCACCTCCCTGATAAAAACTGATACATATTTGATGGTTTACAACATGAACAGTGATATATGGGATACTCTGTTTGAGTCCCTTTTTACTTGAGTTTGGTTCTGACGGTTTGACGAACTGTTTGAGCCTCTCTTTGAGCTCAACGTCTTAGTCGTTTACGTTGAGCCCCTGTTCTTAAACACTACTGACTGGGCAGTAAAGCAAAATAGGTCTTAGATCTGTTTAATCGCTTGATTCTCATTCAAGATGACAATTCATTAAAACGGATGATTTCCTGCACTCATATCTTTGGATGCGTAGAAAGGGCGACATCGAAGAATGAAGAATGCGATATTATTGGCGATAATAAAGAGGTATAGTCTCACAACGAAATTTAGGTGCTGATTAAGTAGTAAATGATGTTATAAGATCTTATTCAGAAAGTATGATTATCTTACTGGATCATACTAATATTGCATACAAGTAAACTGAAGGCAAAATCTAGTAGAATTTCCAGATAAATCATGTGCTTTTCATTTAGCATAGCTGAGATTTCTCTGATAAGAACACGATGTGAAGTTAAATGAAAGATCTAAGACAATCTTTATGTCAGTGTTTCCCCACTTTTTCGATCACAGTCCCCTTAGATGTAAATTGTTGTGTCCATGCTCCTTTTAAAATTGAATTACGATTATTATTATAGCAAATTCAACCTTAACTGCGAGACAAAAGTTTAAATGCAAAAGTATTGTTCGAGTTAGTTCGAATACAATTAGAATTCGATTGCAATACTTCGAATACAATCTAAAATAGTTCGAATATTGATTTCAATTTCATTCCGAATGTCAATGATTAAAATGCTTTTATTGGACAGCTTGGCTTATGTGAATGTTTTCAATTCGATGGCTGACTTTGCTGCTTGACCGACGAGAATGGCTCTTACTATAGGCTCGGTAGTGCTCAGAGGTAATCTTCGTTTTGCATTAATTTGTTCGTTTTGTGAAAGACAAAGGAACGTTCGATAGCTTCCCACAACTCCGAATACATTGCAAAAACTTTTTTCTAGTCAAAGTTCCTGGTGTGATTTTTGAAGTTCGGCTTTTACTTCTGAAGCAGTTTACTTCTTTCGCATCCCAAAGTCGCTTCATTTGTGCAGTGATCGGTAAATGGGTTTATCAGTCAATCGAATAATTCAGCAATAATTACATCTGCAATTCACGTACACCTCAGGTGGTCGCAATAAACCAAGAAGCTGTCATCATAGTATATTCTCATGGTAATTTTGCACTTCGAATTTAGGGTTGCTTCCAACGAACAATATAAGTAGCGAACGCCTGTTACAAGAGTTACATGATAATTTTGCTTTCATCTGTAATTAATTGTTCATAGGAGGCTCTTTTTCACTGAAAACTGCTTGCTTCAGTAAAAATGAAGTCAATTATTCAAAAACACCAGCACTGATTGTACAAAGGATGAGCCGCTAGCATCTATTATTGGAAAGTACTGCTCTACAATATCGTATGGGCTTTGTCTTGAGTCTATAGCTGTTTTCTAGATCGCAAAATGAACTCTGATGATGAGTTTTTTAAATTGAAATGACGAGGGGTGAGGAATTGAAATGCCAGCTTAGTTAAGGCTTCCATCTTCAAAGCTAACTTCTTTCGCTAGAAAGAGACCATTTAGAAAAATTCGATGGAAAGATAGATAACTAGAAGGTATGTTGCTGCTACAAACACAAAGGTGACATGAATCAAGAATCGTGCCCTCACCACATTCTTCAGATAGGCCGAAAGCATGGGATTCGTCTCATATTTCTCACAACCTTGCTCAAGAATTACTTGCGATCCTTCTCTTCTTGAAGGTTACACCAATTCACGGTAATCGATAAGCTTTAGCAAAAGACCAAACGGAATCTTACGATTGCAAACAGGTTTAAACCATCATGAAATGAATTTGATCTGTTACTTGTTACTTGGACGTTGAGTGGCTGTTTTGTTAATTGCTGCGAGCGATCGGCGAAACATTTATATTACTAGAGTTATGATTATTTATTGGATTGATATTTGGCTACGATTAATTAGGCAAAATATTCATAGCAACTAGTTAATTACTCGGCTGTGTTCGGTTGGCCTGCTCGCCTAGCCAGCGGGTGGCGTAAATTGAGGCTAAAACAATGTGCACGGAAACGTGAGCAATGTGGCCAGCAACGTTACAAACGTTTGATAGCCTGGCCAATCAAGGAAGAAATGAATTTATTCGTCGCTGCGTTAACTTCAACGTTAAGCAAAATTCATCAGTAAACGTCGTGAATTGAAATTACCTTCATATCTTTTTGATGCATACAGCTTCCCGGATAATTTAGAACACTTGAGAACGACGCTTTCATTTGTTACGTAGATTGCGGCTGGTGATGAGAGAAATTTCATTGCCAACAGCGTAGGTCAAGCACATATTAAACCTTATCCAGGAACACATATTTTGCATCAGGCAGTGCACATAGGCACCAAACCAGCACTATTAGATTTTGGCAGTGTTCCAAAAATGAGACGTGGTAATGATGTGACGCGTTCGGTGTTTATGAATCATCCGGATGCAATTTAACTGCATCCAGGTGAAACAGGCTCAGGCCTACTTTTTGGCTTAGGCTAAGGCTGACGGGGACCTGAACTGCACCCAAGTGTGCTAATGACAATTCACTTCCGTCACTTTTCTGAGGAATGGGATTTATCCGCACCTGACTAGCTTCGCCAACATATCACCCACAAAGACGAGAACAAGAGATGTTAAACAAAAACAGTTGAAATTCTGGCAGCTTTCCAAAATGGGAGTTATAGAGGCCATTTGTACATGAATTAGTTTAATGCGCACGAGCCAGGCTCAAGATTTAGGCTGAAGATGACGGAATTACAGCCGAATACATGTCACAATGGTTTTCATGAGCATGATGCATCCTAGCACGTTGATCTCGTAGAACGCACACCTCGTATGAATGTAGTGCATTTTAATGATACTCGCAATAAGGGGCTAAAATTCAAACGCTTCGCAAAATTGACCCGAACAAAGTTTTTTCCTATCACACAATTTACTGCGGAACACTTCAGTGTCCATAATACTGCAAGCAGCGTCTTTAACTCGATGTAATTCAAAACTACAGCAAACTTCACCAACCCACAGCACATCCATTCAGAATAGAGCATTTGAAAGAATATCAACATGTACAATATATCGTTTTTCGATTTATGTCACTACCTCGCAAACTGATCATCACTATAAGATGGCGTACATCTGCAATAAGAAATTTTTGATGATCATTTTTTGTCCGATCAATTACTTAACACCAAACTTTTCATCACAGAAAAATAACCACATAAGCATGTCTAATACAATGTATACGTATACATACATTTATTAGCACAACGCAAAGGTATGCCAAAAGATGAAATTATATATATGTATATGAGTTTCAAGCATTTCATAAATCGAATGAATGCATCCAAACAATAACAACTGAACGTAGCGTATGTCTTTCAAAACGAACATGAACGCCATACAGTTTTAAATGAATACGTTTAGATGCTCCAAAATACAGGTGAATTATAGGTAGATTCGTCGGTAGTTAGCATTCAACTAACAACATACCAAAACCAATATCTAAATATAAACCTTTCTACGTAGTAAAAGTATATCATACAGAACATATCATACAGTGATTTTTGGTATAATGCGAATAAAGTTGTTCTTAACGGAAAGAAACGATGATGAAGTTCTATTACTAGAAAGTTCACTCAGTAATCGCGCAATATACTGTATCCATAACAAAAAATAACTACTTGATTACTATTGATAATCAAGAATGATCCTTAGCAAATCATTGCTTAAAAATATCATCAATTACTGAGAACAAATACTGACGAGCATCAGTCAAAAGCTACGAATTGAAACAAACTGATGCAAAGTCAAGACTGGAATTAGCTGAAGAGGAAAGCCATCATGACGCGTGCAACGGCTAGTCAGACACTAATCTCTGTGATGATTAATCAACTAGCTGAATGTAGCGATAAGTAATGAATGAATGATACTTGAAATAAAAAGCGGACGTTGAACTAGTACACTTTAAAGGATATTCGCATGCTCACTGATGCTCGTTTCTTGAGATAACAATTCCAAGAAGATACAGATGAAAATATTTTGAAACAGAATGAAATTATGAGACTGGTGGTGAACTTCGGTACACTGATTAATGCTGACTCCACTGGATCGACTTCAAATCAATACCTTCCTGAACCATTTCCCAAAGAGGACTCATCTCACGAAGTCGTTTCACTTCTCTCACACATTCCTCTACCGTATAATCGATCTCCTAAGAAACACCTTCGGATTTATAATTGTGCTTTATTGATCACACCAATGCCAACAAATATAAAACTAAATTCATTTCATAAAAAACAGCTTCGTTGTATATAATGAAAAGACAATCAACCTGTTCGGTAGTAAATCTTCCAATACCGAAACGTATACTGGAATGAGCCAAATCCTCATCCGCCCCAATAGCTCGCAGGACATAAGATGGCTCGAGAGAGGCGCTTGTGCATGCACTTCCAGATGACAACGCTATTTTTTTCAGAGCCATCAACAAACTTTCACCTTCCACATAAGCGAAGGACAAATTTATGCAACCTTCAACAAACCATTATATTGTTCGAAAGCAACACTAAAGACAGCAGCAATAAAGAATAACTTCAGCTGAAAATCACCCGGATAAGTCTCCATTGGATCACCATTTCTAATGACATGGGGTAGTTTCGCATTGAGCTGCGATATGAGTCGTTCTGAAAGACGGTCAATATGAGCTTGATCCATATCCATTTCTTCGAGTGCGATCTCGCAAGCCTGAAGAGTGATCTTGAGCATGAGGTCATTCCCGGTTTACAATAAAGCCTGAACCGCGAGCTGAGGCTCGTCTAGACTCCATCGGATATCTTATAGCATCGTCACCCTTCATAAACAAATTCACCCCAAGACTACCAAATTATGACGACAACAAAAGTCTCGAAAAACCTTTCCGAATCCAACGACAAGATTTGTGGGCAACGTCCCGGAACGTATTCCTCTCTCCTGACCTCCACCCGACATCTGTGCCTCTAACCGCACTCTCGGCCTTCTTCGCACGTACAACGCACCAACTCCTTTACATTCACAAATTAATAGACAGTCGACAGAAGTGATTACAAAGCAATAAAAATATCCCAACGAACCTCTTGGTCCATAGATTTTATGTCCACTGATTGACATCAAATCAATTTTCGAATCATTAACATTGACTGGAATCTTACCAACTGCTTGTGCTGCATCCGTATGAAAGAACACTTTTTTCTTACGACATATTTCACCTGTAAAATCAATGTTCGTTTACTAAAGGTTAAATATAACCTGTGTGCACATAAATAACGCATATGTTACAGCAATATCATATATGAAGACTCAAGTATGAATATAATTATAACAATTTATATTCACATCAGCTCTTTCAGCAAGGTAGAAGTGCGGTACTGCAATGTTTGGATGATGGGCAGCAACCATATATTAGTAAAACTGACGAGCAATAAAATATTAAAATCTAATAAAATTAATGTCAAACAGATCAACACATCCTTAAAATCTATCCAAATGGAACTGAACAACTCAAAAACCATTGTCACTAAATTTGGGATGACCGGAAAACTAAGTAGAGCTAACCAGTTCTATAAAATCGTAAAATTTACATTTGATCCTTCATAGTAACCCCACTTTTCGACCGTACCTTGAACATATATCACAGCAATGCTTATATTATTTCAAGTATGATGCATACGACCCACAACCAGTCAAAGGGATTCTTCAAACTTGTTGTTGCTCAATATGGAGCATACCATTACTGCTTATAACAGCTCATTTCATAAAACAACCGAATGAGCAGTAGTAGAATGACGAATAGCCGAATTATGGAAAGATAAAAAGGACCGAAGAGAGAAGAACAGACCAATTTGTTTGACTGGTTGTTTAACACCAATTTCATTATTCACACTCATCACCGAGACGAGGGTGGTCTGTTTTGTGATCGCCTTTTCCAATTCCTGAGTGACAATTTAGTTTAATAATTTTAATCGTACCTTTGCCTAGAATATTTACTTGCGGTCATCATCGATTTCAATTGATAGTCCAAACACTTGAGTTCATTTCCTTTTAATTTAACGAATAAACACGAGAATCAACCACGAAAGATGACATTTACAAACATGCATCAATCAAGTTTTATGTACGGCAAATTGCGATTAATGAAAGAAGATCTCTTACGGTTATATCGATGATACCATTCTTTTGGACAGGCAAATAGGTTACTTTGAAACCTTCATTTTCCAAGTATCGACAAGAATCCAAAACACATTTATGTTCCTAAAAACGCATTATTAATGAATTATACAGCGATACGTACCTAATTCATCGTCACAACATTCAGTGCTTCAGATTCACAAAACCTCATTCTACTTCTTCTTAAATGAAAGTAAACACACGGTTTGCACGGTAATAATGTGATCCTTTCCAGCTTGTTTGTTGAAATGTGCCACTCCCTTAACAGCAATATTATTAGATTCGGTAGCGCCAGACGTGAAAATTATCTCTCTTGGATCAGCGCCCACCAGAGTTGCAACCTAAATCGTCTTACCTTTAATTTAAATGACAACATACTTCAACCTAACTATTTTTCGTAAATAAACTCAACAACTTCATACAACGAAACCGCATGAAACGAACATATTAATCTGAAAATGATCAAAATAAAGTGAATGACCTGTTGACGAGCGTGTTCTACGGCCTCTTCAGCGTCCCAACCGTACTCATGTGTACGACTGTGCGGATTGCCGAATGAATTTATCATATATGGTAACATTGCATCCACAACACGTGGATCCTTCAAACAAACGCAAACTGATCACTGGATCACTTCATTTATTAATTCACAAAAAAAATTATAAGTATCCATCCACCATCGTAATCGCATTTACACCATCACGCTGCTAGTTCATAGTCAAGTGCTGCATCTATTCTCCGTTGCGTTCGAAATTCTTCGCAAAACTGAGGCTAGTATTACTTGATTAGAATCGAGAACTGACGACTAACCATTGGCGTTGTAGCTTGTAGGTCCAAATATAATGGCATCAAGTGAGTGTTTTTGCTATCTTCCATAATTGGCATCTCATTATTTGCAGCAATAGCTTGTGCATGTGCGAAGCGCACATTACGACGCAATCCATACACGAATAATGTATTGACAGTCCTCGACAAAGCTTTCATTTCGTGAATTTTCCTTTAGTAAACTGAAACAGGTGATTAATCAAGCTGCAATCATCCGTAATCTAATTACACGATTAACCTCACACATCTGTTACCTTACGGATCACGTGATACGGCTGGAACGGATGGATGATCGTATTCGTATGCCACAATTTCTGAGTAAATTGATTTGTGAACGAACCTCTGGCATGTCACCAACATTTTACATTTTGGCATTTCATCAAAGAGCTAAAGAACGTTTTGCACTGTTTCGTTTCAAAAAATAAACAGTGCTGAAAAAGAACAGGTTAAACGTCACAATGTTGATAAAATGTGTGATCGAGCGAAGTAAATAGGCTTTTGTTGAACGATGTAATATTGTTTGTTTTCCGTTTAAATGTGATCGTTCATGAGATTGTAATTGCTCGTTTTTTGTTGACGAAGTTAGGATGTACACTGCCAAAAACGCTACTTTTCTTATGGAATATCGGAGAATCCAGCCATCTTCATTATGTAAATTATACTTTCGTTCTCTGCGTCACATCAGTCAACTACAGTGAACATCTAAACCCATCTTGCACGTGTTATGTTCTATGCAGATTTTTACGAAACTTGACACTTTCGATTTCAAAGAATGTTTTTTCAGTGGTACGTGTGTGGTAGATATATCAAGCCGTGCGGCTGTTAAGATGCCAGTTCCAAGTCGTGCTCGAGTGTATGCCGACGTGAGTATTTTCATCTGACAATTTCATTTTGAATTCAATCCGTCATTTTATTGTTGAAACGAGAATGTGTCTATCCATGTATGTTCATCTCTTTTTATAAACAAGTATTAGAAATTAAATACAAACTTCCAGATCAATCAACAAAAACCGCGTGAATATTGGGATTACGAGTGCCATATAATTGAATGGGGTAATATCGAAGATTACCAGCTGATTCGTAAACTTGGTCGTGGCAAATATAGTGAGGTGTTTGAAGGCGTCAAAGCACCGTCCAATCAGAAATGTGTTATTAAGATTCTAAAACCAGTGAAGAAGAAGAAAATCAAACGTGAAATAAAAATTCTTGAAAACTTGCGTGGAGGCACGAATATAATTTCGTTATTGGATGTTGTTAAAGACCCCATCTCAAGGACTCCTGCCCTTATATTCGAATACGTCAACAATACGGATTTTAAGGCATTTTCTCATATCATATTTTCTTATGTCAAGTCATCATCTTCGTTCACTTTTGAAAAAGCTTTCGTTCTTGCCGAATGAATAACCTCACTCATTTCAATCACACAAGAATATCACTCGAATGAACTCAAAACGATTGTTAATTTCCAAGCTTTCGATTGGTATGGAAACTTGCTTCATTAGTATGATCGAAATGATTTTTTATTCGATTTGAAAGGATATTTTCAGCAGTTGTATCAAACGCTAACAGATTATGATATTCGATATTATCTCTATGAATTGCTCAAAGCACTCGATTTTTGTCATTCACAAGGCATTATGCATCGCGATGTTAAGCCACACAATGTTATGATTGATCATGAACAAAGAACGGTTCGTTTCGTTCCGTTTAAGTTATTAGTTATGATGCATTTCATTGCTTTATCATAATGTGGTTGATTCAAACATTTTTCAGTTGCGTTTAATTGATTGGGGACTGGCCGAGTTCTATCATCCTCGTCAAGAATACAACGTTCGTGTTGCATCACGTTACTTCAAAGGACCAGAGCTTCTCGTAGATTACCAAGTAAAATCGTTTATACCTTACCTTCGATCATCATAAGCGATAATCGAAATAAAATTTCAAAAAAAAAAAAGAAACTGCAAGTTCCCAAAGCCATAGAATATTACTGTACGTGTTGAGAAGAGAATTTTGAAGAAGGAAGAAAAAATGGCGATTGGTAATAACATTAAGGCGTAGTGAGCCACAACTGATAATTAAATAAATGTGCTTGTTGTGTTTGATCATCATCATTTTATAGTGCTACGATTATTCGCTGGATATGTGGAGTTTAGGCTGTATGTTGGCCAGCATGATATTCAGAAAGGAGCCGTTCTTTCATGGGCATGACAATTATGATCAGGTTTGTTAACACTTGATTATCGTCTCCATTTTTTGTGATTTCCCTTCAGTCTTATTCTCGCTGATCAGTTACATTGTTCCTTAAAGATGATCGAGGTGAAGTTGAATGATATCTTTTCAGTTAGTTCGTATAGCGAAGGTGTTGGGCACTGAAGAACTTTTTGAGTATATCGACAAATATCAAATTGAACTCGACCCACGATTCAACGACATTCTGGGACGGTACTGTTTTCCATAAATAAAGTGGATGAAACTTTTCAATCGAGATAATTTGGGTGCTAATATTTTGGTCATATTTTAGTCATTCGAAGAAGCGCTGGGAACGTTTCGTGCATAGTGAGAATCAGCATCTGGTGACTCCTGAGGCAATTGACTTCTTGGATAAATTGCTGAGATACGATCACCAAGAAAGATTAACGGCCAAGGAGGCGATGCAGCATCCGTACTTTTATCCTGTTGTTGAGAATGAACAAAGAATGAAACAAGAACAGCTCTGTCAACCGACAATCAGTACGTGTCATGTTAAATCAGTATTTTATTTATTCTTTCATAATACTTGCCGAAGAACTCAAAACATTTTGATATTTTTACCTCTGATGCTCAAAGTACTTATAATTTGTACTGTTTATATAAAATATACAAATTTAAATATAAGTAACTTTCATCATGTTCATTCTAATCGTTTCTCAGCATCTGAAAAATACCAAACAATCGTTCAGATGGATCTTCAAATGCAGTAAGCACAAGTGCACCACTTGGTACACCTTTACTCAACACCACTAGCAATGTCGTCGCCACAGGAGCGAGTCAGTCGGCGCAATCCTAATCAAATAAACAGCACGCTTTCATCCACAACACCCTGTTGTTCTCTTTATAATTACTTTAAAAATGGAATTCGGTTTTAATTTGAGCACTGTTCTGAATGAAAGTTGTGTATTATTGAATGAATGTTTTGTTCTCTTCTTATTGCATTCCTAAACCAGAAACAAAAGCACAAATTGAGAGTGCGGGTTATGAAGTGGTTCACTGCAATCTTGATGGCACGCCACGTGCCATATCGTGTTCTAGAATCGTATGTCTTCTCGAACCAGTCGAAACCCACTCGTGACTCATTGCAACTGTAACCATCATGAAATCCTCACTGCGTACCTTTTAAGGATTACCGTCAACTAAATCGTTGCTAAAAACTAACTGTTCGTATTGCAATTGTGCCTAAAATGTTGGCACACTCGAAAAACTAATTACTCTCACCAATGCCATTTGTTTCATGTGTGATGACACATTGTCCTCTGCATTATTCAAACAACAACAAAAACCTCGAACGAACGAGAATGTCATAATTGAAAAGCGCCGAAATGAGCAGCTTTAAATAAATCGATCAGACAGAACGTATGAAATGGCTTTAAATGACGCAAACTGAAAAAAAGAAACGAATAGATACAATAGAAACGGTGAACCATAAAGAAGGACAGCGGAAATGTTGATAAAAACAAGCGACACTAAACTTGTTCAAATCAAATCTGTCAATTAGTCGAACTATCAGAGGTACAACAAATGAAGACTATTTTATTCGGCAATATATATAACTATTCATTATTTGATCTTGAAATAACAACACATGAAAGATTGAAAACGTGCAGAAGTAAACAACACATCTATCTCATCAGCATTCAAATGTCACTTTCATTAAATTAGATGCTGGAGCTAGTTGAAATTCTTAATGTTAATTTGGGAAAGTCGTTATTTGCCCTTCTCTCATTTCATCTAATCTTTCTGTTCGGAGCCACGCCTTTGATATGTTCTTCTGTTATTTCCGTTAGGTTGAGGGATTTAAACAATCTTAAGTGAACTCTACTTAATCGGATTGAAACAGTTAACGAGGTTTCATCGTCTTCTCTCATTTTACTGTTTCTAAATAAATGTCTTGATCTAACTCATTTTGAAGGTTATTCAATGAGATATCTGAAAGAGCGTAATCGAATGAACAAACAAATAAGTACGCACAATGACCTTCTGAATATTCATATTCTTGTTTCAACGTTCATTCAACGAGCAGAGAAATAGATGAAAGCAACGAATTGCTCATGAATCGGACTTGCGAACTGTTAATGCCTTTTGCAAGAAGTCGAGTACAACGGCATCATGAAATTCGCATGCCTCAGATGCACGTACACCGTGACGTTCTGATGGGAATATCTGAAATTGAAGAAAGTTTATTCCATGGCTGAACAACACATAAATGACGTGTGTCATGGCTGATTGAGCGAATGTCAACTGCTCACAGATACACAAGTTAGAAACAAGCTGAACGCACCTGTAAACGGAAGGGTTTGCCAGCTGTAATTAACGTTTCAATTAAAGCTTCTGTATGAGAAAAGTGCACATTTTCGTCCATTAAACCTTGCACAATCAGGAGACGGTCTGTTCTTTAAAACAAAAGTAAATTGATACAAGCACTTGAAGTTATATCTGATCTCTCAAATAAAAACAAACAACATCATATGCACCCTTGCATGATAGCAACTGCTGCATGAATTTATGCAAAACAAATGAACCGGGGCAGCACAAGTTCATAATTGCCTTCAATTTGCTATCCATCATTGTTCAACCACACAAAAATAAATTATATGATAACAGCATTGAGTCAGATAACTAACTCATTTGGAAGTTGATTGATATATTTGAGCACCGATGATCTAGCGTAATGATCGCCAGGCATTCCCAAGTAACGCTCGGTATACGCCGTATCATACAAATTCCAACACGTCACAGCACCACCCGCCACTGCAGCCCTGCAAAACTTGATTGTATCTACACCATCTCTAATCAAACCATCATAAATGATCGATTTAGCAATACTCTTTAAAAGCAATGTTTATCAACCTGTAAGTCTCTGGATTTTTTGCGAGACACATCAATGCCATGAATCCACCGTAAGACCAACCCATAACGGCCACTCGGCTTAAATCCAAAAGGTCATCAGTTCTTTTCGCCACTTCATTTAGACCCTCAAGTTGATCATCCACTTCTAATGCACCTTAAAACAGTCGCAGAATCACAACGAATTCCACGAAATTTCACTTATCGTTAGACGCGATCAATATCATCATCTGATCTAATAACAAAACATTTCAATTCTATGGGTAAAAAGATAATATCCTACAAACTGATTGTGAAAGTGCCAAATGATAATGCGATAAACGGACAGATGTCTAGGGAACCATTCAAAAACTTATAAGTTGTCCTTTAATGGCCGTCTCGAATGAAATACCACGATTTGCTGAACCTCGACCATCAACCATCACAACTGCATAACCGAGACTCGTAAACTTTTGATAGGTTACCCATCTAAAAATAAACCATACACATACAAATGTGTTAATCAGCAACCACATTATCGCATATCTTCGGTCGAGTGCGCTAGACGGAGAATGCACTAAAGCCTCATATCCAATCGATTAGTAGGTAGCCCCAATAGCATGGTTATCGCAACGACCCGCTGAATCTCCGGCTTATGTATATTAGATTATTTCAAAATAACGATAAACTACGCCCCACAGAGTTCAAGCGTCATCTAGTCGCCAATATTATAATTATCGCCATTAGAATGATCATGACAATATAAGCAAAGACTGATGATAAGTCAACAACAGATAAAATAAATTACAAAAGAAACGAAGAAATGAAAGCGAAGGAAGACGTACAATGTCCACATATTACATACCAGTTGCACACCAGGACCACCATAAACGAACTGTATAACTGGATAGCGAATACCTTTGACACTGTTCATTGGTCTTATCAACAATGCATAATGAATTCGATTCGAATTATTCGACTTATACTCTATTATTTCCGGATATACATTCGCTCGTTGTTCATCTGCAACGTTTCAGAAGAATTCAGAAAATACATATCTATAGTCATTAGTCTCAGTTCAGTATCTCCAATGAAAAGAATAAAGAGTCGTAATTTAAGCTCAACATGGAATATACAAAATGAACGGGAAGAAATAAAGATATTTAAACGCGCCAATATCAGACAGTGATGAATTATGATCATTGAGAGGATTGGTGTAGGGCATCGAGATTAAATACTGTAGAGTAGCTGTTGGCAAATGATCGTTCGTTATATGCTGAATACGGTAGAAAGCACAACGTGGTGGCAAACGAAGTGAGCTTTCCCAACAAACAAAACCAATATCACTGTTGATCGACATTTCACACTCCATCCTTGAATATCTGAATTTTGACACATATTTTACCACATGCCACTCAGATTAAATCGGCTAAAATGACGTTGACGTGAAGCAAATAACGTGCCTGTACGACTGACCAATTTCGCTTAAAATGCGAGGTTCAGATATTTTTTGATAGGACGCTACACATCTGAAAACATTTTTCTGTTACATCACTGAATGTTGAGAAGAGATGAACAACGAAACGACTCACAAATTCGTATCAGCAGGATGATGTTTGTTTGCAACGAAATAAACATGGTGTCTCCGTTCATCAACGTGTATTGAGACATGCTTAGATACTGACCAATCACCACTCGTTATCGGCACATTCTTTCGACTCACAACTTTGCCTCCTTCAAATCACAGCAGATGACCTGTCTGTGCTGATGGCTGCTCTTCATTTTCAAGAACCAATGTAACATTTTGAAGATTAAAAATCATACTTGAATTGAGTTCAACTTGTTGCAAATATAAATGCGTATTATCGTTCCTATCACTCGCTTGAAAAAAAGAAATCGTATTACTATTGGTGGATTGCAAAAATTTTGTGCTATTATCAATCTGAAAGATACAATTTCAAGCCATAAGGAAAAAATGAAAGGAAATATTATGCGTAAGAAAAATTGCTCAATTATAAATGAACTGGAATACGGATAATGATATTAATTCTCGCTAGGATATTAATTTTTTTTCATTTTGAAATGATGTTCAAAAGTGATCAATCATTTGAGATTGATCAATTTTGATCAATCAGTTGTCTCAACAATTACTATTAGAATTTGTTTGCGCGTTAAATAGATAACTAGACTCGCAACAGAATTAAAATCAGAACCAACATTGAACCAAGTCGGTGTATTCTCCTCAATTAAAGTGATAACACTAGCATCGGTCGAACTCTGGCCTGTGAACAATTCTTTCGGTATCAATACAAGCGCATAACGATCTTGAAGACGGCTCATCAAAATAGCCCAAACGCTAAACATTCAACGATTCAGTACAACTTTGTAATAAAGACTGTGACACAACAACAGAAATGCAAACGAACGCGCTTCCATCGGGTAACCAGCCGACACGAGCAAGATATTCGTACCAATAGAACTGTTCAACCAAATCAACGCACAACGAGCAATCGGTAACCTGAATACGACGTTATATAAGAGATATCTGGCCATCAAAGAGCATCACCTTATCGTCAGAAGAGATAGAAACGAGGTGAAGAGTCGATGTGGCATTCATCGAACCAGCTAATGGATATTTCATCGGTCGACTTCGAACGTGACCCGGGCTTGAGAACTGCAACTCGACAACGTTTGACTCATCAACTCGCTCGTAGACGAGCAGTGGTTCAGGCCCAGGACTCCACCAAATACCCGTAAATCTGCATTTAATTCATCATCCAATTCATTTTTACAAATCAACAAAAAATGTTCATTGTAATTTTAGCACAATCGTTGCTTTACGACCGTCTGGTTCAAGCAATTCGTGGTATACGAAGCTCAAAATTCACGCAAAAGACTAACCGATCAAATTCTTCTTGCATTATAAATGATGAGCAACCATTTGAGATATCGTTTGTTGAATTTGTACAATAGATTACAGTACCCAGCCTGGAAGAAGAATTGCATTTACATTGAACATTCCATCAAACATATAATCATTCGCACAAACAGCAAGCATTAAAGTGCCTCACTAACCTATCAATATAAATATTACGATTGGCAACAAAAGCAACAATGTCGCTATCAACAGGGCAGAAGTGAGCATTTAGCGGACATCCCGAAACACCTTTACCTACCTCATGAATACCATTTGTCTGAAACAATCAAAAAGCGAATATTATTCTCAGCAGTATCAATAGATATATCTTCGGGCAAATTATATATCTGTATCCATGAACTGTCTTGCTCCTTCTACAGAACTATCTACAAAAATACAACATATTCTTCTTCGTCATTATTTTTTAATATATATATCAAATTCATCACACAAAACACCTCCATATATCCCCCAATGAACGTTTGAGTAAATGCTAGAAGTAGAATGGTACTACGTGCTCTTGAAGCACACCGAACCGAACAAAATACAACAAACTTTTGAGACGTAAACATGATCCGAATCTGAATACAGCAAGGCATCTGTTCTCGGTTCATATTCATAGGATGCAATACCCCATGTTAGTGCTGTACGCTGTCGTTCACATAATGCAGCAAGTTCGGCAGGTGGAGGGTGCTGAAGAATTATGCTGTTAGAATCATTATAATCATTTGTAAGCAACTCAAGAAATAAACGTAACCCTTGACATAGACATTTCAAGATGAACTGAAAGAGTGAGCACTGATGTCTGAGTGCAACGTTGACTGAAGGGACGGCATAGTGTGGCTGAATAGATGGTCTGTTGTGATGACTGATTACCACCACCCAACGCTAACACATGCTCTAAACCATTGGCATCCGTATAAAGGAAGATGTGGTGAAGCGATGTTCCCAGCCCTTTCCTATTATCAGTTTTATTGAATAATTATTCAATTTTAGATGCACTTAAGTGCACAGATCAATTGCAAAAAAAAGAAGCCGTACTGGACCCGGACCCGGATTTGCCGAGTTGTCCGGGTAAAAGTATGAATACAAATAAGAGTACCGTGGAAACGCCCAACCAGTGTAGATAGGCCCGTATGAAGGTTGTTTATACGCAATCGACGAATTTTTGTACTGCAGATGTGGCTCGTAGAAACGTTTTGAGTACCGCAACTTGCATAACTGATTTTCAATGTGGAAGCAGAGTTGTTTGGCTTTTGTGCTCGGATGTTGACGGAAAATGCTACCGAAAGGTTTGTGGTCTTTCTAATATTAGTCAGAATATACTTAGTTTCGGTTTTACGGACAATCCTCCTTAATGGGAATGCGGAGGTTTCTGGCCGTTCCACCCTTGTACCGATTTCCATCCGTATCCGAGCATAAGGATCAAACAATCTCACATTCCTTGCTACTGCGGTAATCTATCGAAACCAGAAATTATAAATATGCTGATCTGTGTCGAAACTGCCCAACCTTTTTATAGTAATTTCGACCAATATTCGAGCAATATGTCAGAAAACCCTTCCTCCATTGACGGTATCAAAAAACAATTGCACAACTCTACGGTACCTAAAACGCCTCTAGAGACCACTTGTTCAGTGCGAAACTTCATATCCGTGTATGAAAATTGCCTTCATAAGATTTTTTGCTGCACTGGGTCGGCGTTTCTACAATGCACTCATTTGATCCGGCGACCTGGGCCCGGCTTATGCGCACTTCTCAAAACAGCACGATACCAAAACACATGACAGTTCATCAAAATAGAACAGGTAAAAAATTGAGATGTTTTGTGGCCACTGGTTTTTTGCATGATGCAACCACACGATGAATTAATTTATTAATGATAGTGATAACGAAAAATAAAATGAATCACGCAGCACACAAAAAACCGCAAACCTCGAAATATTCCTCCAATTTTTGGCATGATCCAACAGCTCTGTCCATGTCAAATTTTGCACATCATATTGCTCCACATCAGGAGCCATCACTGAAATTATTCGTTTCGTGGTTTTTCACAGAAATGTTTGTTCAGAAATCTATTTTTCATCGTTCTAATTCCAAAGTCAATTCGTCCAATACACACACATCGTCAGAAGTAAACGATCAGTCATGTGATGAGAAGATGTTTGAAAACGCCATTTAATTGGTTATGCAGAAAAAGTTATTGAAATTCTGTGCAAGTGAATTCCTCTCATGCCAACAAAAAATACAAACAATAAGAATGAATCACAAAAAACTAGTAATCTGGGATTGAAAGAGTGATAAATCAGTTGAACCGAACTGAAGTCATTTTATCGAACAGTCAACTCATTCATGCGACCAATATTTTGTGAATTTGCAGAGAACAAACAAAAAACAGAAAGGATAAATAAACTACTCACCGAAAAAAATATATTTGTAACTCTTAATTAATTACTTAAATCCTTTTGAACTGTTTCGCCAAATCGATTACGACACTAGCAGTTGTTAGATTGTAGTGAGTAAACTGATAGACTATGTGAACAAGAAGAAATATGATATCGATGATGAAAATGATATTCTTTTTAGGCGTTTCAACAAACTTTTAAGGAGAAATGGGGTGTATGAATAACAAATAATCTAAGCCTACGACTAAAAATGGCTCGAATTTCACAAAAATGCTCACTAAACAGAGGACAAACCGAACGTTCAAACAAAATTTACAATATAAGTAATTCCTCACAACAGTGTTTTGAATGTCTTAAAACTGGTTCAAATTGCTTTAATACGCATTGAAATGAGGCAGCTTAAAAAATAGAAGATGCGGAACAATAATTAATGTGAAAAATACAAATACGACATATCCATTCGGCATAATTACCGCTAATTAATTAAAAAATTACAAGTAAAATAAAAGTGGATCGCTTGCGAATGACATTTCACGCCGACACGTCTCGGCTCATCGCCAAGAACGGACAGGCGCAGCGATTTGCTGAATGAAAAGTCCGTAAAGTGAGGGGTGGGCAAAACATTTTTACGATACGTTCCCATTATCGGTTTTGCGCTCAAACTCGGTCAGCACTCAATCATTTTGGATTTTAACTTCAGGTTAAGTTCGGGACCCATTAATCAATATTTCTAAAAGTTACAATGTCGATTTGATGGATTTTGGCAGAGTTATAGGCAAAAAACTGTCACAATTTTGCACCCAATTTGAAAGTGCGCTCAAACGTTCTCACAACGAAGGGAAACCCGCGAAATTAAATGTTAGCGTTCAACTTATTTTTTGCAAATCCCTATATCAGCATCGTTAAAGTCATGATATCCGGTGTGATTGTTGAGATTGACGTTTGCAGTCGATGCCCGCAGACAGCGAATTAATTCTGGCCTTTATGGCTCATACCTGACATTAAATCCAAATCTCTTCACCCGTGAGAGGTATAAGGATTCCGCCTTCCAGCTTCGCGGATTTTCAGGCGATAGACCATTGATATATTTTTAAATTAGGTATCTTTAATTATGACGAGTGGATAAGTTACACTTGTATTTTTCACGCTAATTGTTGTTCGGTTGTCAGGAATTACTTTCATTGTTAATCATGTTTGAACTCTCGGTTTGATGTCTGTTCAATGAATATTTTCTATGAATCGCGATATAATACAAAAAATTGTATCGTAAATTGTATTTGATAAAAATGTAAAATTGTATTGTGATGGTTATTATGTAATTTGCTATATTAGAAGGTAATGTTCAATAGTAATTGTGTGTACGTATATTATGAAAAATTTTTAATAAATAAAACTGAACAGTAAGAACTTGTGTTGTGTTCACATGGAAAGTTCCAAGATATAAAATATTTTGCCTTTGAGAGGGAGATCGCTTCTTCTTTTGTTTGACTATTCGCTCGTTAACCACTGACCAATTAACAGCGGCTAACGAGCGAGTAGTCGAAGACTTGAAGAAGACCTGAAATTAATAAAAGGTCGATTCATGAAATCAATTTTAACGTCCCGGACGGCACAAAAGGACCCGTAAACTTGGATTTGTGAAGCATATTAAAGAGTGAAACCCGATGCCAAGCTCAAAGTTCGACATCACTTTAATTCGTTCCAAGAGCCGACCGACGTTCAAAAAAAATTGCTCGTTTCTTTAATGGCAAAAATTTTGCGGATTCGAAAAGTTTTTGGAAAGATGCGACCGAAAAATGCCAAAAATCATTGGCGCTCTGCAGAGTTGAACCTGCGACCCTCAGTGGGATGGAACAATAGTGTGAAACAAATGCACCATTGAGAATGACTGTTCTTCTGAAAGCATTCCTTTCACCCCACGTCTATCGAAATGCCACAATTTAGTACTTTTTATAATCCACTCATCAATCCAAATCGATTGGTACCAGAATTATCGAAAAATGAGCGAAAAATCACCTCGCTGCAGAACTTCACAAAACTCCTGACCATACATACCCCTATGAGCTCCAAATGGGCATTCTCCAGATACTGACGGTGTTTCCACTGGCTACTTGGTGGAGCGACCTGAGGATTTGCATGCTTCTACCAGAGAAGAGTATGAAGTGACGGTCAGCTCGAGCAATTAACTATTCCAGTTGCAATCGCTCTCCTGTGGTTACTTTCATGAATTGCCTCACTTACGATCAGTAGTTAGTTGATAGATGAAACAGGAGCATGTACATTAAGAACCGCTGACAACATACTGTTTAAGATACCGACACGAGGCCTGACCCATGGCCGCCCGACGAGAAACGAAGAAGTTTTTTTCCGAAGTAACGTGTTCTGCGCGAAAGAAAAAAGCTTAGCACAAGTTAGAGACGGCAGCCTTTTCTGTGCGTATCTCTAATGTTCAAACAATGACGCTCGTTCAATCTTATAGATGTCATCTCTAACATGCATTAAACGTATCTCTTATGTCTAACATCTCTAACACATGGACTTACGCTAACATGCATTAAACGTCCTATCACAAATGCTGTATTCGTAATACTGCTTCATCCTTCGTAAGTGAGTTTTGAAGAGTTGCCTTTCATAAACTCTGTCTCCTTCCGAGAGAATCATCCTATTCGAGACCTCCAATTTGCTTTCTTCTCATATCGTCGCGTTTTTCGGAAGAGTCTCATTCACTTTACCATGCTAAAGATATGCGTGATGATCATCTCATGAAATGTCCCTTTATATGTGATCACTCGTTTCAGTTACACTTTGCTGAATCGCTAACACTGTTGCATTAACACATTTTCAAAATGACTTCCCATATCGATATTTTGATAAGCCTTTGAATTTCAAGTTCCTAGTCCCCAACTGCGATGCAAACAATCGTGTCAAGACTAGAACCTATACCGAATCTGAATTTCCCCGAATTTATCAACGCAACTACGACAGCTGCCGTCTCAACAGTCCTGAATTGACAATCCTAAACCGATACTCGTTGATCTCTTCAAGCTTCGGTGTGATGTGTGGTAACAAACGAAAAAATGTTTATGCAGCTATCAGGTACCTTACTAGCACTAATGGCGTATAATAGCTTCACTGACATTGTAAGTAAAGATGTCGTCACAGAAGTGTATGAATACCATCATGACACTAGCTAATAGATAAGCTTCGGCGAGGAACCACAAATACCTGAGAGATTTCCCCTCATAACGCGTTTAATAACATTGAAACTTTACTTCAGCTGTTATTAAACAGCACTACGAGGAAGATGTTCTTCGAGTCACCACTTAGCAACTCGACTCTACAGGATGAGTGGTGCAGGCGAACTTTCCAGACCTACCGCTAACTTCATGAGGCGATTCATACCCTACGTTTGTTAAACTCATTTTTATAGGGATATTTTTCTTCTTTTCTCACGCCAGTGTAGCTATTGTCAACACCTGTTACAGTCCCTGCCACAACAAACTAAGTAAATATTCTCTTATGCGTTAATTTACCTCTAAGGAGTTCCGAGAGCTTCTTCCTCAGCTGTGTGTTCACTAGGTAACTGCAGTCGAACTGTGCATAGACGACTAACACTTCTCTGAATCGCATGCCTAAGTCAGATCAGTTCAAGTCCATGTCAAGCTTGATGAATTTAAGAAAGCTCAATGTCAGATTTATAGTCAATCTCAAACATTATCAAATTCGTTAAGCGGTACGTCAAGTCAAGTTAATTCGTGATAAAATTGCAGTGAAGACGTTTCTAAATTTTGACTCAAGCTAAGTGTAGTCAATTATGCGCTAATTAGAACTGATATCAGAAAATATGCTGCTCTCATACCTATGTTAGAGTCCAACACGGTTCATATAATATAGTCCATATTATGGGAGGGGGGGGGGAGGGGAATGATTGGGTGCTAAACTGAAAAAAAATTCAATTAGGTGGGATGGGCAACATATAAGGCCAGTCCAAGTCCCTACCTCTGGCTCCGGAGTTAAGCGGGTCATTACGTGCCGCATCCGTCCTTCGCCCAACCAACATCCCTTGCAAAAAAATTTACAACATTAACAGAAGCGATTGATGTATAAAATGAATGAATACATAAATAAATAAATGAATAAATAATTAAATAGTGACAACATATATGACAATTGGTGACAATAAACACAATGATTTGTCTAACAATCATTTAATTTACAATATTACAGATTGTCGAATTGTTTTCTATTATCAAATTTCTAGTTGAATGTCCCAAACTTCTCAGCATGTGACAATACAGTGACCGAAACACAATAATAAACCGCAGTGACATTACAACTGAATTGAAAATCCCTAAAATATCCCAGTTAAAAGCTACGAGACAAGCATCTTCAGTATTACATAACACATTTCGATAGAATATAATGTTTTATCTCATAATACAACACAGGATAATATATGTCAGTGTATTGTTACTAAATCTCAATGAGTCGGACCCAAACAATATACGACTTACAAATAAGTGATAACATATACAAACATATAAATCACAAACATATGATTTACAATTGAACGCATTAATGAAAGAAATAAGCATGCAAAAAGTGGTCACTGACCGCGACTCAATTTTATTTTCTGACCCTAACAGTAAGTTCAAATATAAATGAAAATAAGTGATAAAAAATGGGGGGAGTTGTTTTTTAAAATTCATTTGAGTTCTAAAGAAGAGGGAAATGAATGAAAGATGAAGTTGAAACTCCTAACCCTGCGCTTGCTCGCGCTATCGTATCACAGTTGTTGCTCGTTGGTATATGTTTGATATTACTAAGAGGTCAAGTATTAGAACGAATATGAGGTTACAAGTAATTAAAAGGGTAGTAATAATTGAAAAAGGTTGTATAATGTAGTAAGAAATAATAATGCTGAAAGATGGCGGCTTACGAAGAATAAATGAAACTGCCGTACAAAATTGGTTGGTATTGAAAAATTACAAAAACGCGATGGCATCGAGACTGTTAAATGATATGAGATGATATATGCAGATTAAATATTGTGAATAGACGAGAGAATCAAAGTATCTACTACACAGTTATCGAATAAAAAGAAATGCACTATTGATCAAAGCTGGCACAGTTGATTGATTATTGAAAGATTAAAACTGTGTTACCCTTTCAAATTGCCATAATTAAAAAATAACAGGCATGTATGATGGGGTTTATAAGCTATTAACTGTTGAATAGCACTGTTGATCGTTTGGACAGCATTGTGGAAGTAGACTGAAATAAATCAGAAGTGATATAAATGATAAGGTTGGAGAACCCTGAGGGTTTTCCGGATCCCAATGGTGAACCTAAGGTTTACCGAAAGTAAATGTTTTTGTGTATCCTCTGAGAGAATACACGTTGGGTAACTGTGTTACCCTTTCACTTTGAGGTTGTTTACAAAAGAATAAAAAATTGTTGTTATAAGAACGTCGGGATACGTTACACAGAGACGGCATTAGCCGGTCCTCATGTGCAAGATCCCGAATAGATATTAATTTTGTAAGCATGAGTGTATTGGTGTAAGAATACAGATCCATTAAGATAATAAAAGAAATTGCGATTGAATGCGTTAGGAGAAAACGGAAGATATGTTGCTTGTTGTTATAAGATTGATTGGTTGCTTGTTATCAGATGATTTCGATTTCGGATTGATTGTACATCTCGTTCTTGGTATCAGCGTGGCCATCGTACGTCACACATCCACAACCACCAGTCGCCGTATCCGGCCTTCCATCGAACGTGAGCACTGGATTGGAACCATTGACATGTCCAGCTAGAATTGAATGACGGTTTAATGCTGACGAGATCATATATCGCATTGATACAGTACCAAAAATACCAATATCTCTGCTAATATTACGTCTGTTATCATGAAACTGTTTCATAAACTACGTCAACACATCTAATAGAGAGTATTCACACTCACTGAGTATATGGTGAATTCGTATCAGATCAAAAAAAGGTAACAGGCTGATTAACAATTAAGTCATTTCAAACCACCAATTAAAAAATTGAATCATCACAAAAATGATCCAGTTCCCCACCTTATATTGAAGATACCATAGTTTACTGCCGATAAATATAACCAATCACCACGAAGCTCTCCACCAACGGCGACTACCGTAATCTGTTCGCTCGCCCCCTCACTCGCTCATCCTCATAAGTGTGCACGCCTAAAACAATATTAAATGACTAATTCGCAGTTTTCGTTATATTCAGATCAGTACGATTCTTACTGATAACACATTTCTCATCAATAAGTTATTCGCACACGTTATCAATGTTCTAAAATAATATAGCGATGATGATTTAATAAGATATCACCTACACTTTACAATATTTCAGCATTCGAACTGAATTGAAACATTGGGCCAAGACGATCGTTCCTACCCTCCTCTTTAGCCAAACCTGTCCCCTTGTTAAATTTTCCCTTAATCTATACAATTACCGACCTTTGAAACACTGTGATACTAACAAAGTTGAAAAATCGAGTGTATATTTGAACCAAAAATATCTCTGGCCCAATGATGAAATATGCTACAAAAAGCATGAACGGAATAAAATTAAGAAAATCAACGCACCTCTGTTTGGTGCTCACTCCTGTCATTAATTAATGCATCTTCCCAGATACTATCAGCGAATTCCTCATTCCACGGCTGCAATAATACAAAAAATTGTCATTTCATATTATAACAACAACAAAAATAAAAATAGCAATGAAAATGATAGCAATAATAGTAATTCTATTATAGCAGCAATAATTACACATTGTTTAAGGAACTGATCGTTTTCGATACGCGTCAATTTCTGTCGTTTTATTGCCCATATCGTGCGATACTTATTCAATAAAATGCGATTATCAACACTGAAATTTTAAAATTATTTGTTCTCAATTCACAAAAGTTTCAAGAATATTGAGCCCCTTCGAACGAAATTTCGGATTTAACATTTTGAAGTGATTTCGGTAAAATTCACATTGCTTTAAAGAGCGTTTCATTGAACAATCAGGTAGCGATTAGTACTCAAAATATCAAAAAGCCTCAACACTGATAACCGTAATGAATGAATCTGGTAATCGTAATATCACTGACAATAGATAGACAATCTCCTACGCAAACTCAATAATAATAACAATGAGAATAGTAATCATATTGAAAGTAATAATAATAAAACAATAATAATGATAACAACAGTAATGATAACAACAGTACAAAAAGTAAACCTTGCAATTTCAGCTTCATAACAAACATTCGGCTCGATATTATCATTAACTTCGCTCAAATTTTTCGCCGCAAAATTGCCCACCATTCCAATGTGTTCACAAAACGCTAAATTCGAATAACCATTGATGCAAGCCCATTCAGCTGGAGGAAATGCTAGGCAAACCGTCAGTGAGATTACCTTAAATCGTTATCATTCATGAAATTCCTCCGCAGCCACCAATCTTTATTGAATCGTAAAGAATACAATCGTAATAATATCATTAAGAACAATGCTATTAATAATAACGGTAACAATAATCATGATCACATTCATTATCATACAACCTTATTCATGAACAATAATGAAAGCATTCAGTTGTAATGATTCAATCCTCCAAAAGAATAAAGACAATCAAATAAAAATGATACATGATCATATTATATGACAATACCATCATTATCGTAAAAAGATAAAAATGATAAAGGTAATGAGAATAATCGAACAGTGCGAATTATTCCGACTGAAAATGATAATGATCAGAATAATGCAGATGAGTAATGGCAATAATAATGAGTTTATCATAAACACTGAAAACATTTGAGCTGTTTCATTTGTTCCACAATTGGAATACTGATGATTGGATGGATGTTCAATTTCAATTTCACAATTGAAATTAACTTCGTCTTCGATTTAATATAGATGGAATACCAAAATACAAAAGGAATATCAAAAAAGATTGGTATTTGAAGAAAGAAATCAAACAAGACTTATACCGACCGGTTCATTGCTTCTTGATGTTGTTACTAATTTAGTCGGAACAATATCTGATATTAAATCAACATTTATGATATTTCATTCACGAATTTCATCTGCACACACTGAGATCCAACTACCGACCTATAAAACATGAGTAAATATTTCTGTAAAAATCTACAAAAAACTGAAGTAATGTAAAGAAAAATAATACACAACAATGCGATTAAGGAATATGTAATAAGGTGTCAAGGAATATGTTATTATCACTCTTTACTAATATTATGATCATTACTGTTATTATTGTTATTATTATTATTGCTCAACTGACTTTTCGCACGTTCAGCTTCATCAATACCGAAGTATCATATTAATGTTTCCATGAAAGAAAAAGAAACCTACAAATATTTTGATTATCTTAAAAATGATGTTTTTTATTAACTATTATTATTATCGTTAGCAATGACACCTTATAAGGTGTCAATAATCAAAATATTTTTCGATTTCTTTTCCTTTCATGGAAACATTAATGTAATACTTCGGTATTAATGAAGCTGAACATGCGAGAAGTCAGTTGAGCAATACTGATAACAGTAATGATCATAATATTAGTAAAGAGTGACAATCACGATAATGAAGATTATCATATTGTTATTAATATAATAATAATTTTGAATAATAATAATGGCATCAGTAATAGTAACGCACCTTCAAATGAGGTATAGAATGTCTATTAGCAACGAAAGTGATTGGTACCACTGAATTCCTATAATTCTAACACATTTCCATATGCGTTCGTACAAACAGAGAGTTGAAACGATTTTGAACTCATGATAATATACAAATTGCAACCACGATATAAAATTCAACAATTAAACTTGAAACAAATGAAAAAATTGAACACATCAAAACTGAACCATTCAAAATGTTGAAAACATCTCAAATTAAACTCCTAATCCCTGTTTTTTTTTATCTACCGCATTGTCATGTATTATTTTTCTTCATATTACTTCAGTTTTTTGGAGATATTCAAAGAAATATTTACTCATATGTTGTAG